GAAAGAATACCGAGATCGTGCCAAAGGAGTACAGGTGCGATCGGCAAGAAAAGATACGTGCGTAGTCGAAAACCGCGTAGAAGCAATGGAATACAACGGAAGACCAAAATGGCTGTTATTAGCACAGTTAAACAAACGAGCACAGTAAAACAGTCACTGGTACAATTGGTTATAATAATAATTGTTTTCATCGAACCAATCGCGTTCTGTTGACAAAAGTAGGTCACTACAGGAGCCCCCCGCTAGAAAGGGTTTGCACTTTCGATAGTTAGCGGTTTGATTCGTGGGACTGATCGGCAGAAGTGCGGTTGTAGGACGGAGGAAATTGGCGGAACAGGAAGTGATCATTGATCCTCGAGTTGCCAACGAAGGTCTTTTGCGCAGAACGGTACCAGGAGAAGTGTGCTGTATTTGTTAGTCGAATTAGCATACCACACCAGAGTGATTTGTATCCAGAATCTGATGATTGCGTTCGTAGGGATGTGAACCAGAAAACGCTGCAGACGTAGGATGAAACCACGTTGAGCCAAGAAACCGGAAGCGACCATAACGACCAAGCGTATGCCAGGCGAATTCGAGACCAGATAATCGACTGAGTGCGTTGACTAGAGCATGGGTGGCCAAACCAGCTTTTGCCAAAGTTGACTGAAGTCGACGTTATCAAACGGACGATGGTCGGAGGCGTGGGCTCAGGTTACAAAAAAAAATCAAAAAAAGAAAAGTGTAGCATGCGTGTAGTATAGGAATAATCCTACACTGTATCCGTTATTGACTGTGCATTTAGTCGCGAAAGCGTACGGGTAATCGTACTCGGCGACCGGAACGTGAGACAGTAGTCTCGTTCGTACTTCGTGAGCCTGCGATCTCATCCGAGGTCAAGGGCGGCGTGATCTGCCGATCTGGACGTGAGACGGAAGTCTCGTCCGTAGATGGTGCAGATGACGCGTGCTGTTGACCGGGACGTGAGAACGAGGTCTCTGATGTATCTAGCGTGGGATCCGAGGTAGACGTAGGGATCCCGCTAGAAGGTTTGATAGGTCTAGCATTGAGTCTCAAGTTATCGGGTAGGGCACTGTCATCGACGTGTGCTGGTTTGAGACGATCAATGCTGACGATCTCGACGCTGCCGTGTCGATCAACCTTGAAGGTCTTTTCGTGACGAGAGATCACGTGAAAAGGGCCTTCGTAAGGCTGTTGCAAAGGTTTGCGTACCGAATCTACTCGTATGAAAACATGTGAACAGGTAGATAACTCTCGAGGGAGAGCGACCTGTCGATGTTGTATTCGAGTTGACACCGGAGACAGCGTTCGCATAAATGCAGACAGTCGATGGACGTAGTCTGATTTACCGAAATCATTACTGCTCCGTGGTGTGAAGAATTCCCCAGGCAGACGCAATGTCGTGCCGTATACAAGTTCAGCGGCGGAACATTGGATATCTGCCTTCAAACTCGTTCTGATGCCTAAGAGAACGAGCGGTAAGGTTTCGTACCAATTGTCGTTTTCGTGTGCTCGGAGAGCACTTTTAAGTTGGCGATGAAACCTTTCGACTAAACCATTCGATGCTGGATGGTAGGCGGTGGTGCGTATGCGTTCCGTACCAAGCAGTCTGGTCAGTGAGGAGAATCACGCGGACTCAAATTGTTGTCCTCGGTCAGTCGTGACAGTCGAGGGACAACCGTACAATGCTATCCATCGTTCTACGAAGCGGTGAGCAACTGTCTCCGCCGTGATAGACGTGATGGGAATAGCTTCGGGCCATCTTGTAAAACGGTCAATGCACGTGAGTATGTGATCATACCCATGCGATGGTGGCAATGGTCCTACAATGTCTATATGAACGTGATCAAAGCGAGCATCAGGCGTAGCGAACGTGTCAATGGGGGCAGCTACGTGCCTGTGCACTTTTGATCGTTGACACTGTAAGCATTGCTTTACCCACATACGAACATCTTTATCCATTTACGGCCAGACGTATCGTGCAGCGATGAGGCGTAATGTGGCTGCGATACCTGGATGAGACAATCCATGGAGGGCATCGAAGATGAGACGGCGATAGGCAGAGGGTACGGTGGGTCGAGGAAGAACGGTAGAAATATCACAGGATAGTATCTGAGCTAGTAGCTAGGGGTACTTCCTGACACTGAAGGGACGAAGATTGTGGTGCTTCTGTACAGACAGAATCGTTTGCTTGCGCGGCCGCCATAGCAGGAAGATCGAGCACCGGTAAGGTAACTGCATTCGTCTGGATACGTGATAGAGCATCGGCAACATAGTTCGACTCGCCTTTAATGTGACGAAGGTCTGTCGTGAACTGTGAAATATAGTCCAAATGTCTGCACTCTCGTGGTGAGTAGCGGTCAGACTTGGTATGCAGGGCATACGTTAAGGGCTTATGGTCGGTGAATAAAATGAATCGACGTCCTTCTACTGCGTGCCGGAAATATTTGATAGCACAGTAGGCTGCAAGCAGCTCGCGACCAAAAGCGCTATATCTCGTCTCCGTGGGAGTAAGGCGTCGTGAGAAAAATTCGAGCGGTTGCCAACTACCGGAGATATTCTGTTGCATAACGGCTCCTATAGCGAAATCTGATGCATCAACCGCTATACTAAGCGTGGCTGATGGGTCAGGATGAGCGAGGAGTGTAACTTCAGCGAGAGCCGTTTTGATCTCTGAGAATGCAGTACATGCGGTATCGCTCAGTTCTAATTTGCGTGGATTACAGCGTAGTAAATCGGTTAATGGTCGTAACCATTCTGCCGCGTGAGGGATGAAACGTCGGTAGAAGTTAACCAAACCGAGAAAAGTCTTCAGTTCCTTGATTGAGGACGGCACGTTGTACTCCTTTATTGCTCGAACTTTGTCCTCGCAAGGCAGAATACCCTCTTGTCTGATGATGTGACCCAGAAATATTATTTCTGATTTACCCAATTCACATTTCTCTGGGTTGACTATTATTCCATTATCCGAAAGACGTTGGAATAATAGCGTAAGATGTTGATAACGTTCATCTACGCTTGACGATGCGATCAGCAGGTCATCAATATAGACGTGAACAAAATCCAAGTCTCGTACTATGCTATCGATAAACTTTTGGAAAGTTTGAGCAGCATTCCGTAATCCATATGGCATTCGTAGGAACTCAAACAAACCGAAAGGAGTCGTGATAGCAGTTTTTTCGATATCTTCAAGAGCGACTGGGATCTGGTGATGTGCTCGTACCAGATCGATTTTAGAAAAGATAGTCGTGTCCTTGAGCGATGCCGTGATGTCGTGTATGTGGGGGATGGGGTAACTATCAAAGCGCGTAACTACGTTTAATGCTCGATAGTCGCCGTATGGTCTCCAACTAACCCCATCCTTTTTGCGCACCATGTGTAAAGGAGAGGCCCAAGGACTGTGAGAAGGACGAATAATACCAGCAGATAGTAAATTGTCAAACTCACGTTTAGGGAAGGCTAATTTGTCCGGTGCCAGTCGGCGTGGTCTTGCCGTGACTGGTGGTCCGCGGGTGACTATGTGGTGTACCACACGATTGGTCACCGATGAAATCTCCTCGAGTGGTTTAGTTATTCTGGGGAATTTCTCGAATAAAGCGTGGAATTTATCGTCACGCGAATAAAAAGTGCCGAGGATTCGGTACGCGTACATCGGAGTCTATTATATTAATACTATTCTTATCGTTATCCGTCATGTCAAATATATATATTAAAAATTAATATGAAAATATATGACAGACGTGGATAGATAAAACAATAGACTCACCGAATTTCCTTCTTTGGAAGATTTGACCGAGGTTGAGGCGTGTTCCAATATTTGGCTCACCAAATGTAGCGTGGTGTCGAGTTGAGCTTGACTATGAACACCGCTACCAGACCACGTGCCAATAGACCAATAAGATTCCGGTAGGCCAAAAATCAGAAGGCAGATGATAATAGTAGTTGTAATATATTTGTTGGCAATCTCGTGGTATCGAAAGAATACCGAGATCGTGCCAAAGGAGTACAGGTGCGATCGGCAAGAAAAGATACGTGCGTAGTCGAAAACCGCGTAGAAGCAATGGAATACAACGGAAGACCAAAATGGCTGTTATTAGCACAGTTAAACAAACGAGCACAGTAAAACAGTCACTGGTACAATTGGTTATAATAATAATTGTTTTCATCGAACCAATCGCGTTCTGTTGGTAAAAGTGGGTCACTACAATATCGTGATAATCAATTAGTACATTCTAATTCTTTCTTCTTACCGCTTCATAATAGTACTTACCTCTGCTATCAGCTATCTTTTCAAGAATAACGGCAGCCTAATAATCGGAACTCTGTACAAGAGGTAGTAAAGTCTCTGGTAAAATCTCTACATAATTATAGCTCTTTCGCATTTTTATGATTTATTTCCTCCAATATAATGATTTGGTGGCTTATATATCTAACTGTAGAAGGTGATATCAACATCATTGTGTTATAACAATCTACAGCATATACATAATATTTACAACCCTGAGCACAGCTAATATTTTCACCATTAGCCTGTTTCTTCCATAATAGTAAAAAAAACAGTGAAAATCAGCCAAAATTGTAATAAAGATAGGAAAAACGATAAATGTTATCATGGTATAGTTATTTGTAGCGCAGTTTCTATAGCCTTGACGACAATACAATTTTTATGACGATATATGCTTGGATCATGTAATTTAATATGGAAACAATTGATTTGTCTGCCTCCAGTGTATATTCAAGTAGAAGTAATTGCTAGTCTGCGATGCGAATACCAAAAAACTATTATAGCAGCACCTGATTAATGAATTTTCAAGGACTTCGCGATACCATGTACCTCAAACTGAAAAGACCCTTTTTCACTTAATTGTGAAGACGGAAAATAAGCTTTCGAATATATTTATAATTAATTTCAACTTTTGGCTGTTCACAAAGCAGAAATGAAAAAGTAGCGCAAAAAGTGTCGCGATACCCTTGGAGCGTTGCTTATCTCTAACTTAGTCGGTACTTTCGAAGGTCACGAAGATGTCCGATCAAGCGTTGACTCGTTCTGGAGTTCCAAGTACTATTGCAGTGCAGGAAGATCCTCTGGTGTATGAGATTAATCATTCTAAAGAAATTATTCCGTGTATCTCCCAGCTCTATCGAAATGAAGCATTTAGTGATGTTATTCTAGTTGTTCAAAATACTCGTTTTCCTGCTCACAGAGCTATATTGGCAGCTCGCTCTGAGTATTTTAGAGCATTGTTTTATGGAGGACTTGCCGAGTCGTCTTCACCTGTCGTTTATCTAAACGATATAAGTGTGATTGCTTTCAAAAACATCCTAAACTACATTTATACCGGTCAGATGAAATTAACAAAACCTAAGGTTTGTTTATTTCTCTTATTTTTTGCTGAATTAGAGCAGCTAAGCTACTTTACTTTGCCTTTTTTCGTTTCGGAACTTTCGAGTGTTTCTTTTGGATGTGATAAGTTTTATGTCTCGGGTTATATATATTCATGCATACATTTATTCTGACCGAAGTACTTGGTGATCTATAGCTAGATATAAATAATTCGATAGAATCAAACAGCTAGATAATAGTTTCGTTCCTTTTTGTTTGATAATCATACAAACACGTTTACTCAACCATGAGGTAATACATGCCAATGTGTCTTGTCCACATTGAGTATCATCAGAGTCAAGGATATTAATGTTTTAGGTTTGTGGGACGTAGTAGATTGTCTTTACGTCTATTGTGCGCACCCAAATATCATGTATTTGGGCTAAAAAAGGACTAGTCACTTTTTGAATGAAATAGATATTTTAAGAAGTCATACTGGTGAGACTAATTTATTGAGCGACGCTCAAGTGACTGAGAATGTCCACCTACTAATTAGCACTAAATGAGGGTTGTAAACCAGTGCGAGGAATTAGAATTATGATACACAGTTAGTGGTTAGTGTTAGAAATTAGATTTAGTACTTTCATCACGAACTGACACCAGCTGAAATGCCAAAACTCTATTTAGCCAAATCGATGGGTGAATTTCGTGCTAAAATCCAAAACTTGTTACTCTATATTTGCTCGTTTATAAATTAGAGTCTCACAAAGCTTGAAATTCAATCAAAGCTTTTTTGCTTTGCTCATTTTAATTAGTATGTATATGTTCCGTCTGAGCATAATCAGTCAGTCGACTTAGAACCTAGTACAACTGTACATTGGTCCAAGTTGCCATACCTCGTTGGCACCGAGATGAAATTGTATGGTCAAGTTCCCGAATGGCAAAGGTAGTAATAGTATCAGTGTTAATACGGAAGATTAGGCGTCGGAGATACGATTCGATAAAGGAATGTAAATTGGTGAAATCAAAACAGGAAAAGTTTTAAGGAATTTAGAATTTCAAAACTTGGGGGGAAAACAACGAACAGATGCACTTGCGCTACTGCAAATGATTTTAAGCCATGTCATTCGAAGTCTGTAACCATTGGTTATGATAATCACGCGGACCCCAACCAGGTAGTCTGCACCTATTAAAATTGTTAAGTCCGATTGACTTCATGGACTGATGCCATTTTTGGTTCGACTGCCCCTAACATTCTACCAGCCTACTTCTACTCCAGAAAACCTTTCGAGGTAGGCGTTTGTTAGGCATAGCTAACACATGTCCTGATCACTTCTGTTGATGGTTCGCTACCTCGTCAATTGATTTGCCATCCCTACCTGGCACTTTATCCCTAATCTAGGCATTGATTGATAGGCGGTCCTCAAATACGCGAGCATTGCTGCAAAGTAGATCGGAGCAGACATGCGCAATGAACTCGTTTGGTTGGAAGAAATATCTCGCTTGCGTCTGAGCATAATTTGGAATTTTGTTGGGATAACTCATAATTTGTTTCAATACTTGATTAAAATGCTTTTCATCTAATATCCAACACCAAAAAAGATTTTGTAATTATGGATAAGTAAGTCACTGTAAGTGATTGATATCAGTCTTCAGTTATTCATACAGGTGGCCTTTTTATTATTTTCTATTACTTACTAGCACTTCATTTTAGATATGTGTAACAAACTTTTTTTACACACTCAGCTTACCCTTAGTATCCTGTGTCTGGCTCATCAATATAATTTTCGTAGTCTGGAAACTGTTATATCTACTTACTTAACACATTCTCTTTCTGTGAAGAATGTATGGTGTATCTATGATATGGCTATAATGTATAACCTGGATGATCTCATAACGGCTTGCCTACGGTTTTTAGACTGCCTTGCACCTGCTCCTTTATACAATCCACGATTTCTTAGGCTATCACAGGTCAGTTTATTGGGTCTGTGTATACATGTGTCCTTATACATTGTTTATACATTTCTCGTGCTTGTCTTACCAGTATTTTTGTACTGTGATGAATTTCTGACTTGTCTGAAGAATATATTTGGATGGGAACTGTTCAAAGCCACAAAGTGTTCAACCTTTACTGGTTCAAAATATTTTTTTTTCTACAGTATTTAAGAATAAACCTCAACTATGTAACTAATCAACATTGACACCAAATAAGTTAACGTGTTGATCTATCACAATCAATCATGGGTTTATTTCTTGCAGCCCTAACCTTAGGAAATAGACGGTCAGTAGTACTTTCCTAATTAGGAAAATATTTTGCCCAATTAGAAAATAATGACTATATGCAAGTTTTTTTTTTTACATTTTTCACATTTTATCCACAATTTATAAAATGCCTTGTTCTTTACTTGATATAACCTACGTAAAATCTACACATTACCATATCATTATTAATCCTCTGGTTATCCTGCATCTAACACACCAAATTTGTTGCACGAAGTTAATTTCGCCACCTATTCAAACCTTACAAATTTTCAAAGGATATTGTTTTGCATAGACAACCCGATATTGAATAATGAGGATATTCATCTAGTGTTTCCGATTGAGAGAGGGTAAATATTTATTAGTTTTGTTCGCTTAAACTGTTCATTTTCATCAATCGTTTGACAAAGTCTATACATTAAAGTTAAATGCCCCAAAAGTGTGTAAATCGACCAATTTCGCTTATCGAAAAAACCTTAACTGTTTTGTTAGCCTAAACTTTAGTAATGTGTACAAAGACTGCTACACTCAGCCTGTATTTTATTTTTCCAAGGCTTTTTCTCATGTATTTTTTTTCATAGTGTTCCTCCCCTACGGACTTATAATTCCTACTTACCAATCTAACGTATATACTTTCATATCTGAATTATTTTTCAGTACCACAGATACTATTTATTTTATTTATTTATTTGAACACATAAATATTGGTACAGGGGAGCACCAAATATATATGCGCCACACAAAACAATGATAATTTGAAGAGAAGGAGAAAAGAGAAAAAAAAGTAATGAACGTGGGGAATTATAAAAAAAAGGGAGAGAGAGAGAACAATGGTGGGGGAAACGGAAAGGTACAATCAGAAGAGATCTTTCAGTTAAGGAAGATACAACCACTTTTTATGAAGAAAGTAAAAGAAGGTTACAGCAGGATCGCCACTGGCTTCTATTCTGAGCCATATCTGATAACGTCTCTAGCCACTGCGTTACACCGTCTCTCGGACCCCAACCAGGGAGTCGTGAAGGACCAACAGAAGCTAGCCCTTTGCAGCTTTCTTTCATACCACGACACCATGTCATATACTGACCACCTCTCCGCTTTTTCCAACCAGTCCCAGAGTCTGCAAATAATGCACGACGTGGAATTCTCTGGGACGACATTCGTAGAACATGTCCAAGCCACCGAAGTCGGTGTTTCAAGATGGTGACACCAATTTCATTATCGTCTCTGTGACCACAGATACTTCCTATTTTCAATACTATTTTGTTCACTATACCATATGATATAGCGGCTTAAAGTTGCGTTTTCAGGCAAGAAGTATTGTATCCCTAATTTCTCGATACTTCATGGAAACGATGACATGAGCGACTCACAGATTTGCACTGATTAATAAAATTAAGCCATGATATTCATTTTAATTAGGGTTCACTATTCATGCCCCCAAACGCCCTGGTACGGCCGAGAGTGGGGAGAGTCCGCTCTCCCTCTTCAAATACTCTCACATGGCCACGCCTATATAGCCTCTGCCAGGGAAGTCCTACTCACTGCCTTCTCGTGGCAGGGGTGTTGTTTACGAAAATGAGAGGACGAAAAGCGAATGTCCGGCGCTTTAACCGGATCCCAAACCAATGGTGCACATGGGCTCCAGTATCCTGAAGGAACAAATGGCGTATGAACCAATTTTTGGTCACCGGCTACCATGGGACTGCATCTCCTCACGATGCTCCACTGCCTTGTGGATCAGATCTTCAGGTCGAAGACTCGGGGTGTGGCCCCATAAGAAAACCACCTGCTTCGGTTTGGGCACCCGGGCAGTATCACAGCCCTCACGCATATCAAATGAGATCTGTGTGGCGCATATGTATTTGGTGCCTCCTTGTGCCAATATCTATGTGTTAAAAATAAAAAAATCACTATTCATACATGAATATTTTCCTTCTATCTGAGTATTACACCCATCAGAAACCGGTTTGGTATATTCACATTTAAGTTCTAAAGCTTTCATGTAACTCAATGGCCGCGTTCGAGTTCATGTGAAGTGTCTTGTGCTGTGGGTTTATTGTTCAGATTCCTAGTAGCTGAAGTGAAGTTCGAGTTTGCAAACTCAATGATCAAATGTCTCAATCATTAAGCCATCAGTTCTATCTTATATTGACCTAGAATTAGCTAAATTATATCGTTTGCTATTATTTCAGTCATCCGTCGAACGTTTACTATCTCGTGATAGTTTCTATGCCTCTGAAATTGAAATATTTCGTGCTGTATGCTCATGGTTACAAAATTCTAAAGAATCCAACTGTCGAACATTGCAAACCTTACATTTATCAAATATCCCTGTAATAACTACTGATAATAATAATGGTAATAACGATAGTAATAATATGGCCGAACAAACTAGTTTATCAACTGAAAAGAAAGAACCAAACACCAGTTGCTTAGCTCAAAATAATACTACGACAATATCATCGTCGAGTTTGCCAATGAACATGGAAAGATCACCACCGATTACAGGTAAGTCAATTGCACTTGTTAACCTTGTCCGTTACTCAGACTAATTTATCCTCTAAGTAGGAGTTTTGATTGGCAAGGTTTTCAATATCAGTCGTTATTAACAGTGAAGGTTTCTACAAAGGAGTGTAGATATTTACCAACATTTAATTATTAGGACGAATGTCCGTTTACTGAATGACATCATCAACAACCTACTGTGTTAGAGAACATGTTAGCTTCCAATTGATGAGAAAATTGGGAAAAGTCGTTGGAGATAGGTATAACCTACATTGAAAAAAACATAACTCTGCATTGTGAGTCAGTTCCTAACTTGGAATTGTGCAGGGCAAATGAAAAGAGGTAGACCAAACAACACACTGCACCGAGAATTGGAAGCAGACATGAAAAGAATGAATAGCAACTGGAAAGGATTACCCAAGACGGAGTTGGATGGAGAATATTGGTGGGTGGTCTATGTTCCTCCATGAGGGTTAACATGTGTAGGTAAGTAGGTTATGGTTCATGGAATACTATAGACACTAAACTGAACGCTAGTACTTTTCAGGTTTTAAATTTGTCGACACAATGTCCCATGAAATATCTGTCATTCTGTGTTATTGCTTCTCCATTCCTCTCCATGTCAATGCCAAGTTGCTATTCCGTGCCGCAACGTGAACTAATTAGAAATGTTTATAAAAAAGATTCAATTTTGTAATTAGTGACGAAAGAAAAACAGCAATCCTGTGAACAAACTGAGTTTTAAGTGACCAAGGCATTTAACTTATACACAAGTTGTTGATTCCCACTTTTTTATTTTATGATCAAGATGCTGAAAACGACGAACAGTCATCAGCAAACGGTTGTATGACTACTACCTCAGAGAAGTCTCGTTGTACTCATATGATGCATCGATGTGTTCGTTTCGAGTTGATGTCACTTACTGAATTATTAACTGAGGTACGTTCATCAAAACTTGTTAGCTCAGAAGAACTATTGGATGCAATTAACCGACAAACTAATTGTCCTACTGAAATGCCTCATCGTGGATGGCTATGTAAGTTAGTATTTTACTTATTCTTCTCAGTGTTATCATCATGTGTTTATTTCCATCATAAATAATGTGTATTATAAATCCACCTACTTCACTAATATAAAAAACTATTTGTTGGTCACTTATATTCATCTTTTTATATGAGTCCATTTTGGGAATTGCATTAATAAAGATGTATAATGTAAGAAAGCTACACGCTGCCTAACCAAGATTTGGAATCAGTTGATGATGTAGGTAGGGTGCAGACTACCTGATTCAACCCAAATAGTTATCATAACCAAGTGGCTGGATACGTAATATGGCTCTGATTATCTCAAATGTATTCATTCTTTGTCTTTCCTCAGATCATGAGCTTTAAAACGAGCTCATACTTTTTTTTTCTACAAATTTATTAATTTCTCTAGAAACATACTTCCCATGCTCAATCTTTTCTACCACAACTAATAATATTAATATTTCTAATACTCTGGCATTTGTTTTGATAACTTTATTTGTTGTCAGTAAGTAAATAGCAGCTTTCAGTAGACCATATAATATCATTGTACATTGTAATTTATCGGTCAGCATTCTGTATGATCATTTGAACAAATCGATTGTATTCATAATAAATCTGAAAACTATCATAAAAATTACGTTAGTTTTTTCCGTTCCAAGTGATGTAGTTGATGAAAGCCAGTAGAAAAATCCCATCACATTATCAGTAAATAAAACAAAAATGATTAACTTAAATTTGTAATTTAATTTGTAAATGATTATTTGAATCTTTCAGAAAGACAACCAACTAAATATTTATTATACTTTTAGAAGAATATTTGGTGTTTGAACTTGAATACACGAAATAAGAAACAATACTTGACATATTATTGAAAATTTAAAGGTAGAAAAGTAAGTTATCGTCGGACAGTATCCAGCAGTAAAATCAAGGGTATGTGTTCTGTCAGCTGGACGTAACTATACTTTAGTGTTGATGTACTTACCGGGACTCGAACCCAATACATTTCACTTCAAAAACTCCCAACACATCTGTAGGAATTTGAATCGCAATTCTGTTTGTCAGTTAAAAACAGTCGGTAAATGAGAGATTGGACGCATCTTAAAGAGGCTAGTAGCAGTAGCGTCTATTACTGCAGTATTATGTGATCCAGGTTTGAATTCTTCATAGAGTATCAGTGCCCTCAAGATTCTAGATAGCCCATGTTGACTATTAGTTTTATCTTACACTAAAGCCAGGTTCAAATCTTACTACATCTTACCACCTGAAATGGAACATAATATATTTTGATATTGGATCACTTAGACTGGTGGTTACATCACAACTCTGTCGATAGGATTCTATCAGTAATAAGAATTAGACAATGATTGCTATTCATTGATCACTTAGTATAAATAGAAATCCAAAGGTAATTGTCAGTCGGTTGATATGTCCGGTTGTTTCATGAGGTTTAATAATTTTCAAACCAATCTCAACACATGCTTTATTTCTTACTAGTATACTTAGTGATGTATACATTCTATGAATGTCTTGATATTATTTTGTTTTGCCATCTATGTCTGCCAATGTTTAAAAAAGATTTGCATTACTTTCAAATTATAGTACCAGGTGTTAACTTAGCATCTCCTCGTTTCGGTTGTTCACTAATTGCTGGTGAAAATGGAACATATCCACATTTTTTTGTTGAACATTCTCTTGATTCGGATGAATTGAATGTAAATAAATTGGATATTGAATCTTTGAAGATAAGTGAGGATGTTAGTTCCAATGTAGACTATTCCGAGAGAAATGTAATTCCCGGTGATACTAACGATGACAGTGACATTATTGAAGATGATGATACAGACGAAGAACAAGACGAGATTCACTGTAGATCTCATCATTTCCAACAACAAAATAATGATCAAATTCAGGCACCAACTATGGACATGATGTCTGATATCTCAGGTATTCTTCTACTTAAATTTTGGTGCATTAATTGTTGCGATTTTTTATTATAATGGTAGGGACAATAGTGGTTTTTATTTATTTATTTTAACACATAGATATTGGTACAAGGAGGCACCAAATAAATATGCGCCACACAGATCTCATTTGATATGTGTGAGGGCTGTGATACTTCCCAGGTGCCCTGACCGAAGCAGGTGGTTTTCTTATGGGGCCACACCTCGAGTCTTCGGCCTGAAGATCTGATCCACAAGGCAGTGGAGCATCGTGAGGAGATGCAGTCCCATGGTAGCCGGTGACCAAAAATTGGTTCATACGCCATTTGTTCCTTCAGGATACTGGAGCCCATGTGCACCATTGGTTTGGGATCCGGTTAAAGCGCCGGACATTCGCTTTTCGTCCTCTCATTTTTGTAAACAACACCCCTGCCACGAGAAGGCAGTGAGTAGGACTTCCCTGGCAGAGGCTATATAGGCGTGGCCATGTGAGAGTATTTGAAGAGGGAGAGCGGACTCTCCCCACTCTCGGCCGTACCAGGGCGTTTGGGGGCACAATAGTGGTAGTAATGACAATAATAATTGGTGTCTAACATTTTTCAAACGCTGCTGAAAATTCCTTTTATTTATCTATATTCATGATTACTTCCTCTACTACATTTCTTTTTTTGTGATTGAACTATTATTGCTCTTTTAACCAGTAGATCACAATCTCAAACCCTATTCCATCTCGTTTAGGGCAGCTAGGTAATATTGTGGTTCATACTACTTACACGGACAGATATAAGTGGTGTGTATCGGTCATGAAAAGTAAAAGAGGAAAATGAAGAGAAGAGAGATGAAAGCTATAATCAATCAAAGTAACAGCAGGAATGAAAGAACGATGAGGATTGTAAGAGACATTTCAGAGATATGCAGATGAGTTATTTAATGTATCATTTTCATATTCTACCAAGCCACTTCGTGATTTCTCACTCAACTATAAATTAGTTTTCCCCACCAAGTCTTCATTTACTGTAATATTATTAACCCTCATGACTATCATAACTTCGGGTCACCTCCTCTCTTGTTGTTGCTAAGATGAAATTGAAGATGAAAAGCACCAGACAACTGGATCAACAGCATTTCTAAGTTTCAATACCGCCTTCCTTCGATGTACTTACAAGCCCAACAAATTTAAGATAGCTCTTAACAACGGGTTTCAAGAACTACAATATCCATTCAAAGAAGATAAAACAATTATGGAGGACAATTGGAGAGGGATCGAAGAAGCACTAACGTGAACTTATCAGGAGGTCATGGGCCTCAAGTACCATCACTATAAGGAATGGATTTCTATGGAAACCCTGAAAAAGATTAAAGAATGGAAGAACAAGACAGCAATTAGCAACAGCTGCACAAGAACAGAACAAGTCAGGGCACAAGTTGAATATACTGAAGCAAACAAGCAAATGAAGAAGAGAATTTGAGCTGACATGCAGAATTACGTGGAAGACCTAGCAACAGTAGCGCAAAAAGTTGCAACAGAACGAAACATGGAACAACTACATGACACAATGTGGAAACTGGTGGGGAAATATAGTGAACCAGAGAGACCTGTCAAAGACAAAGAAGGCAAGCATATAATTGAGATTCGAGAACAGAGGAACAGATGGTTAGACTACTTTGAGGAACTCTTGAATAGACCATCACCATTGAATCTACTCGAGATCTATGCAGCAGCTACAGACATTCCTATGGATGTCGCTCCACAAACAATTAAAGAAATCTGGATGGACAACAGACAAATCAAGAGTGGGAAAGCAGTAGGACCTGACAATATACCAGCCAAGGCACTATAGTCAGACTTAAAAACAACTGCAGCATGCTCCGCATTCTATTCAGAAGATTTCGGGAGGAAGAACAGTTACGGATAGATTGGAAAGAAAGATACCAAAGAAAGGAGATCTGAGCAATTGTGAGAACCACAGAAGCATCACACTACTAACAGTACCGGGAAACGTTTTCAACAGAGTGCTGTTAAACTTAATGGAATATTTGATAGACGCTCGACTCCAAGATCAACAGACCGGATAACGTGAAAATCGATTGTATATCGCCCAAACCGCTACATTAAGGATCATTGTTGAGCAATCAATTAAATGCAACTCGTTACCATACATCAACTTCATTGACTATGAGAAAGCATTTAACAACGTGAATAGGAGAGCTTTATGAAACCTTATTCGATACAATGGAGTGAGTAGTTGAGTAGATCGTCAACATCATACTGATTGTATACGACGGAGTACACTGTAAAGTGATGCATGGAGGACATTTGACAGATGCATTGCAAGTGTGAACGGGTGTCATGCAATGTTGCTTACTCTCACCTTTTCTCTTTCTTCTGGTGGTTGACTGGGTTATGAAGACTTCGAGATCTGAGGGGTGGCTTGGAATAAAATGGACAGCTTGAACAGTGCTTGATGGTTTGGACTTTGCAGATGACCTAGCTCTTCTATCTCACGCACCAGAGCAAATACAGATGAAGACTACTAGTGTGGCAGCAATCTCTGCATCTGTAGGCTTCAACATACATAATTGAAAAAGCAACATTTTCAGATACGACATCATAAAGATTAGTACTACTTATCTACTTAAGCCCATTACCCCCTCGTGAGGCATAGGCCGCTCACCAGGAATCTCCCAGAATTTCTGTCTTAGGCTGTCCTTTTCTGCTGTTTCTTGGTATTCATCGTCTTGCTTTCTTCCTCGATATATAAAAGCTTCCACTTCTTTTAGAGTTTCGCCATCAATTATGATTGGGGTTGCCGTTCATTGTGTCATATTTCCGGCTCTTGCTTATTCCTTGTAAATGTTGAGGTTTTTTCTGGGCTGTAAGGTTCTTCATAATTCAGTCAGCAGATAGAAGGAAAAAGTAGGTGATAGTTGACAACCTTGTCTGGCGCTAAGCCTCATTTGGAATAAGTCTGTGAGTTGCCCCTTATTCATGATTTTAAAATGCAGTCCGTCGTTGGAGTTAGTGATGATTTCTTCAGATACTCCACAATGTCGAAGAACATTCCACAAAGTTTTCTTATTTATGCTGTCGGATTCTTTCTCATGATTTTACGAAAGTCGTCCAAACAGTTTAAAGAGTATTAACAGTCATTCTAGAGGAAAAACCACTCACTAATGATATACAGTTGATGAACCGGTCATTTTTATGCTTATATGTACTAAAGTTTGTGTTGTTACTGTTGAGTCTATTACTTGAATGTGAACCTATGATAAATATTGTTTGTTGTCTAACCACTTAGTTTATATATATTCATGTGTGAATATTTCGAGAAGCTAAGACGGCCGTTCAATTTATTCGACTTAGGGTGCACTGTTCCGGTTACTATAACCTAATTATATCCTGTAATTTAAAAAGCTTTCAAGACATTTTAACAAACCATTATTCAATTTGCGAAAATCCAAGAGTTTTACTGATTGTTGTTAAATCTCTAAATGTGTATAGATAAAGATCCCAATGACAATTGAAGTTCAATCGTTTAGTGTGTGAAACAATTGCCCTCTAATGGTTAGACTTTCTCTGTGTAACCTGAAGGTTCTAAGTTCAACCCATGTTAGTGTCTTGGATGCTTGCTTCTGCTAGCATGAAACTGCTGTGCAGTGCTTCCTGGCTCTTAACAGCTATCTAATTACAATCACTCAGTAATGTAAACTATCAAATTTAACGATTTCCACAAGATCCCTGCAGTAATACAATTGTCTTTGTTACATAGTTTGATCTAATTTTCGCTTACTAATTGTGACTTCTACTACATTACTTAACAGTTTCATCACAAGTAGTAAGTTGCTTTGGTTTCTCGTTTCAATTGTATTTTAGTCACAAGTCTGTATTCCACCTGGTCTTGTATACTTAGTATTACAGTGACCATCATTCAGTTAGTTTTGTTTATTATCAATTCTAGAAGTCTTGTGACCATCATCTCCATGATTGTTTTAAACTCCTATTAATGTATATGTTGATCTTTAACTGTTTTAATCTTAAATATATGTGATTTTGTAAATTTATATTGCAGGTCATTTACTCAGTCGTCATCATGATCATGTTCAATTACCTCGAAGTTCTTTACCAGAAAGCGTAGTTTGGGGCATAAACCATACAGTTAACAATAATTTTTGGAGTTCTTTACATTATCCAGATAATAATCAAGTATGGTCATCTAATGCTCAAGATCACACTCAACATAATGGTTTAAATGTTACTCCATTTGACGGAACTAGCATTTTAAATACTCCAACAACGCCACGTATTAATAACTGTGTGAATGATAATAAACCAGCCCGTTGGATTCAACCATCTCCAAGACGACGTGTTAGTCAGCATAAACCACCACCACCGCATTCAGAATATGATGTAGTGCGTCATTCGTTGAATGATCCTAATGCTAATATTATCATTCGTTTGGGTAAACCTAGTATTGTGAATACTATACGCATGCAATTATGGGATCAAGATTTACGGTAAATTAGTTTCAGTTCGTCATATGTACCATATAGAGTTTTAAAAGCGATATATAATTAAAGTTTGTTGACTCTTTTTATTGGAATACTTTTCTCGATTAGAAAATACGTATGTGAAGTGATAATGGTGTGACGAGAAAAATTAATCTCTTCAATTTTTGGTTTCCTTCAGATCAGGATGTAATTACAGGAGTACAGTTGATTAATTTTCCTAGTCTGTCTATCCTAGTACTAACAATCTTCGGCTAAACAATGACATGACTATGATGAGATAACAACCGAGAATAAAACTTAACAACTATTGGTCCAAAATGCAGTACTCTCACACTCGATTGTTCATTTTTGTGTATTATGGCTTGTGTTAAGATGATAGTGATGTTTGACTGTCTAATCTGAAGTAAATAGATGTTCTAAAAAGACCAGCCTTTAAGTTTCCAATTCATTGTCTAGTTTATAATGTAGTAGGGTTAATGTTATTTCAAAATAACAAAATTTGTTTATTTCAGTTGGTATCTGAAAATCTTTACTTTATGAAATTTGTCGTTGTTCTGATACATAATTTCTGGTTAGCGATTTATTTAGCGAGTTGGTTTTTATGGGATGGGGTCTTTAATCTCATACACAACCCTCCTCTATCCGGGCTTGGGACCGGCAGTAGCCTCAGAGGGGGCTCCAGGCGGAGTTTCTAATGGATACTTCAGAAGTTTTAATTGTGTTAGTGTTTAAAATGTCTCACAATACTTATTCATAAAATTCCATTTATTTTAAATACTTTCAATTTCAGTAAAAGCTAAAAAGAAGACCTGTAGCAATTCTTAATGGCATATTTATGCCAAACTATTTTAATTTTTGTACAAATGTTGATGAAACCACACAAACTATATGACTGACAAATCTTTCTAATCTTATTGACTGTTTTGTACATCTCTATACATTTTGCCCCCAAATGCCCTGGTACGGCCGAGAGTGGGGAGAGTCCGCTCTCCCTCTCGAAATGCTTTCACATGGCCACGCGTACATAGCCCCTGCTAGGGAAGTCCTACTCACTGCCTTCACGTGGCGGGGGTGTTGTTTACAAAAATGAGAGGACGAAAAGCGAATGTCCGGCGCTTTAACCGGATCCCAAACCAATGGTGCACATGGGCTCCAGTATCCTGAAGGAACAAATGGCGTATGAACCAATTTTTGGTCACCGGCTACCATGGGACTGCATCTCCTCACGATGCTCCACTGCCTTGTGGATCAGACGTTCAGGTCAAAGGCTCGGGGTGTGGCCCCTAAGAAAACCACCTGCTTCGGTCAGGGCACCTGGGAAGTATCACAGCCCTCACACAAATCAATCGATATTCGTGTGGCGTATATGTATTTTTGTGCCTCCTTGTACCAATACCTATGTGTTAAAATAAATAAATAAATAAATAATCTCTATACATTTTCTCCCTGTTAATTATCCATTTTTATTCATACACGTTTATGCTTGTTAGTATCCATGTATCTATATATATTGAAATAGATTAGTATCTGACCATAAACAATTGAATCACTTCTAATTCAATGATCGGCTAAATACGGATTTGCATATTCGCTTAATATACACTTTGCTTGTTTAAGTGTAAATGGATACTTGAAATGTACTCATCGTCCATCCAATATATATCGTCACAATTGATTGATCACTGGGTGGTGATCAATGTCATGTATGTGAAGTCCTTCTTAGTGCAGATCGAATCCTATCGACTAAGTTGCAATGTGGCTACCAGTCTAAGTGACTCGGCACTGCGGGAATTATTGTGAGATTAGATGGTAGTTGGAGGTAGTCGACAGGAAACCCTAGACCTGGGTTTCGTGCTACTCGACACTCGTCAGCAGGGTGTACCTGTAATCTTAAGGGAACTGGTGCTCCCTGACGGATTCGATCTTGTGTCACCCAGCTTCACAGTCAGAGACGTTACCACTAAGCTATCCGGGCTGCGACCGACCTCCTGTAGGACTAAGATGTAATCACAATTGATTGATTACTGGGTGGTGATCAAGTAACACGAAACCTAGTTAAAGGGTTTCCTGTTGACTACCTCCAACCACCATCTAATATATATATATATATATATATATATATATATATATATATATATATATATATATATATATATATATATATATATAGTATTTCGGCTTTTCGTAATCGTATTGTTATAAGCGGGATTCGAATCAAGAAAAATGTTAACGTAATCTATCTTGAGATCATTTATTATGAGCATCGAATAATAATCGAATCAAAACTAGAGGGCTACTGAAATCTCTTTAAAGATTGTCTATGATGTATTACGATGGATATACTGTTGATAGCATACAATCGACGAATATGTGTTCATCATAACTCATTAATATTTTTCAAAATATCTCTCATCTTAATAATTTATCCCATTAATTAATTAATTTTTTATTTTTTATTTTCTGTATATATTTAGTTCTTATTCATATATTATTGATGTATCATTAGATCAATCCACTTGGCATCGCATTGTTGATTATCAAAATTATATGTGTCGTTCATGGCAAACATTATATTTTCCATCACGTGTTATCCATTTTATTCGTATTACAGGAACAAGAAATACATTTAATCGAACATTTCATTTAATTACATTCAGATGTTTTTATAGTGAGAAAGTATTTCAACAAATAGATGGATTTATGGTGAGTACTTTTTTTTACGTTTTTTTTCAGCAAATTTAGCTTCACTATTTTATTATCTTTAAGTACTAGTTGAATTCGATTTACATATTCATTAATAATTATTCTCAGTATGGGGATTTGTAGAGATTGTAGTATATTAGACTAGACCCCGATCTAAAACGTGAAAGCTCTGGACGGCTTAGTATGGGGCTCCTCAGAAGTGTGCATTCACAGATCTCGCGCGCGAGACTCGAATCCAGGACCTTTGCTTTAGTGTGTGAATACTTAACCTCTAGACCACTTAGCCCCTAGCATCGAATGCTGTAACTAGTAACTAGCTTCAAGATGGAATTCCTAGATTTCTAGTGAGAAGTCATGATCAATGAAGTCTAATCCTTACTTACTTACTTACGCCTGTTACTCCTAATGGACCATAGGCCGCCAACCAGCATTCTCCAACCCACTGTCCTGGGCCTTCTTTTCTAGTTCCATCCATTTCTTGTTCATTTTTCTGATGTCTATCTCCATTTCCCGGCGTAATGTGTTCTTTGGTCTTCCTCTTTTTCTTTGGCCTTGAGGATTCCATGTGAGGGCTTGCCTAATCTAATCCTTACTGATGAAATAAATGTCACAAACATTTAACGATTTAGTAGCTGTCTGGACTCAGTAGATAATTCATTTCGATTTGAACTGAAAGGCAATAAACTCGTATCCTAATATGAATATCAACACTGAAATAGAGGTACATTCAGAAAATGAATCCCAAATAAGACGGGAAGCGCATCTTGGATTCCATTGCCAGTAACATCTATTCTATTAAACATTCCAATGTAAATTTTGACCAAAACATTTTCTCTTGGCACCTGAAGGATTTTACCACTGATGATTTTCTACCAAATATCTCGGATTCTACCTCCAATTGCTGAGTCGTGGATGCGCACTGCTGCGTAGTCTCATACTAGGACTCAACGGCCATCTGGTGCTTTCAGGTTTTTAATATCTGTCTTAGGTCGGTTCGTAATTTTAATCAAGGTCAACAATCCCTACAACCATATACTGGTATATCTATCATAATCAATAATATGCTAAGTTATATTTGAATTGTCCCTCTCTCCTCTAGGTTCCGACATTTAATGTTGCAAATGTCGATCATGGTGCTACTGTTCTAGAAGGTGTCAGCCGAAACAGGAATGCACTAATTGACGGTAATATTCGAATGTACGATTGGAATTCTGGTTATACATGTCATCAATTAGGCAATGGTGCTATAGTAGTTCAATTAGCTCAACCATTCTTATTACGTTCAATGAGGTATATTTGACTTGTAAACTTTCTGTTGTCATGTTTGTTTGAGATCTTTTCTTGCTCAATATTTATTGTCTTGAATAGTTCATGTCACTGTTTTATAAGATTTTACTCGTTTAATTATTTAAACTTATACCAACTTGAAAGTTATTCATTGTTTGAAGAAGCAACTTACATGACGTCACAAAATGCTGGATAATTCATTTCTATTCATATTGGTTTATTACACATAGTACATGACGATGGGTTGTTTTTTCTGATGTCAAACTTCAGCCAAGATACGAAAGCCTGCTAGTATTCAAGATGATTCAAAAGATATGATATCATCCCATCGAGTTATTGACTATGTTGAGACCGGATAGTGGTTGGAGGTAGTCAACAGGAAACCCTGAACATAGGTTTCGTGCTACTTGGCACTCGTCAGCAAGGTGTACCTGTAATCTTGAGAGCGCTCATACTCCCTGACGGATTCGATCTTGTGTCACTCAGCTTCACAGTCAGAGACGTTACCACTGAGCTATCCGGGCCGCGACCGACCTCCTGTAGGACTGAAATTTATTTACAATTGATTGATCACTGAGTCCAGGGTTTCCTGTTGACTACCTCCAACTACCATCTGGTCTCAACATAGTGCACGCAATGTTGAGTCACCTAGATTGGTGGCCACATTGCAACTTAGTCGATAGGATTCAATCTGCACTAAGAAGGACCTGAAATACATGATATTTATCACCACCCAGTGTTCAATCAATTGTAGTCACTGACTGTTGGACTGTGAGCCATATAGGTTGGTGAAGGCTACCTGGTTCGTATCCAGGGAACTACTGCGATCTCCACACCAAGACTGGTACAAGTAAAGATTTATTGACCTAAAAACACAACGATGACCCTAGTCGAAAATACACTCATTATATATTGATTGTACACCTATTTGGGTTATTAATTAGAATGAAATCACACAAATGAAAAATACTTCGAGTTATAACAAACCACATACTGCGTGTCATGCTGAGCATAGTTCATGTTAATTTAATATATAATATTGTATCTTTAATAAATAGCACACTCAAATAAATTAATATTATACCGAATATCACGATGGAAAACAAAACAAATATTACACTGAATAACAACTTCACTTATCTTGAAAGTGTAATCTGCCCTAATATGACAGACTCTACGTTGTATATAACTAACTGACTGGTCTCCAATAATTCTACATAAACCCACACTCCTAGGGATAATGATCAATTGCTTCATGAACTGACTTAAATTCTTGGTTTCGCTCAAATCATCATTCTTTCAGTCTGCACCAGGGTTGCGCTTTGGGATAGGAGATTCCCTCCCTCAACCACCCCGGGTTCAGCTTCCACTTTCAAGTAAAGAAGCATAATTAGTCAGATTAGATGGCGAAAATGAAGTATAGTTTAATTATTGTATTTAAGTGTAAATCTGTTTCCTTTTATCTTATTTTTCTTCTGCATAGATTTTTGCTATGGGATTTAGATTCACGTACGTATTCTTATTCTGTGTTTATATCAAATGACCGTGTTGATTGGAAACTTATACGTGATGCTTCTACAGAACCATGTCGTTCTTGGCAAATAATTAAATTTCCGTTGCAGTTAGTAACATTCATTCGTGTTGTTGGCTCATACAATACAGCTAATGATGTATGTTGTTCTCTCCTAATTGTTTGATTGTTGCATTGTCTGATTTTCCATTCTTCAATGTTATATTCAGGTTTTCGGACGTAAAGTACCTTAATTTCACAATGAACTAATCAATTAATTTTCTGTCAATGTGTCGTATCTTAACACTGACCAATACGCGTAGACGAACTTAAGCAGCTAATACTCAACAATCACTAGAAAACTAGTACTCTATGCTTGACGTTTGGCCCGTTGACTAACTAACCTCAACAAAGAGAACGAACATAAGGTCAAGGATCACCAGTCAAACAATCATTTATATACATACATGACCAGATCATTCAGCAGACTAATTAAGTAACAGTATGAACACGGAACAACAAAATTAATGATGGGAAAAACGGAGTATTGCACACACATAATCAGTCCTAGTTTATGCCATAGCAACAATTTACGGTTCAAATAAAAGCTTGGAACTAGGGCGATATGAAAACAAATAAATCAAAATACTTAAGAAACGTGATTAAAATATATAACCTTGCAAATATAGCTTTGGAAGTTTTTACTTAAGTTATCTCTCATAAGACATTGAAAGTAATTAGTCACTTAAACCTACACCTTTGTCATACAAATAAAAGCTTGTCAATAAGTGATATAAATAATTAAATACGTTAGCAATGAGACTATTATATTCAATGCCATTCCATAAGCTTTGCGAAGCTATTTAGTAACTACGAGTTTGGTGTACGCGTTTGTTCATAGTTAATAAGTATTTTATTTATAAAATTTGTTCAATAATACGTGAGCAGAGGTTTTAAAATCTCATTTTTACTAACTTGAAGAACACCAATCTTAAATCCCTTATTGTATTTCTCATTTGTGCCAATCAAGTGATTTCATTTCTTTCTTTCAAAATGCCATTAGAAGCCTTCAGATTTCTGAGCTGCTTGATCGTTTTACGTTTTATCGTCTATGTTTGACCGTTTTGTACTTCAAGAACAAAATCAAATCTCAGTCATCTAAGGCTGAAGTATAATCCTAGCATTATGTTCTTTTTAGAGACCAGGAATTTGCAGGAAAGCATCGCTAAGTATGCAGACATATTGTCGTGCATGTACTGGGCAGATTACATATATCTAATCTGTTATTTGAGCAAAACTAAAACTACACAGTGCGTATGATATATTTGGTTTTCATCACAAGTTAACATCGGTTGGTGCGAACGATCGAAAACCAGTGAGTTATGAGCGGAAACTGCTTCATTTCAGGCTGAGATATTCCTCAACAGTCTACAACTTATCCTAGGTTTAGAACCTTAACATTCTGGTGTTTTAATAAACACAACACTAATCTGCCACACAGTTTACTGGTCCATATTTTACAGCTTCAACCAGTTAACAGTATTATGCCACCACCATATGGTTCCAGAAGCCCAAGGTCATGTTACGTATTTAAGGTCGAGTATCTTACTATAAATACTCACGTTTTTCTCCATACAGATTACACTTAGAGTAAAGCTTTCATTCGCACTTTGCACATTCTTTCTAGTGTTCCAGTTGATGTGTAGAAGTATTTGGAGATATCGGGACTGGTAGGAAGACACTTTCATCATGTAGATAGAAAGGCGTATTACTGTAGATGTAGCTTGGTGTTATAGGAAGCGGTTAGAAGGTCTTTAATAGCAGACCTTGATAAAGTAATAATCGGAAATCTGTCTAATTATCTTTTCAGGCTATGTTAACACTATTCTTATTTTTTATTTATAGGTGTTTCATTTGGTCCACTTAGAATGTCCTTATCCTCCAGTACAGACAACAGAGGATACTGTTGAGGCAAATTTTGCAAAAATATCAAATACACCCATGAATACAACAATAGATCGTAGTAATAATCAAGAAATCGTAACACATTCAACTCCTACAACAGTAGTAGTATTAACTCAACCTAATAGTACAAATGATAATAGTAACCATATGAATGAATCTCATTCAATAATAAATTCAAATGATCCACCAATTATTAACACTATAACATCATCAGAGCATTTATTACTTAATTCTTCTGGTAATATTAGACCTATATCAAATATTCATAATACTTCTAATGATCAATTAAATGATGAAGCTATATCATTAAATAATAATGATCGATCATCACATTCAACCAATATGACCATTGTTCATACAGATTATGATCTATTACCCGATCTATCACATCATTCATTTCATCCTACATGAAAAATATATTATTCATTTACATTCTTTTTGATACTTATTCATTTCTATTAAAACTATTATACTTAATCACCATGACATTAAAATATATGTATATTATATTGTATATGTCATTTCTTACATGGTTAGTTTTTCTATAAACTTTCAATCCATCCTAACATAAATCTATTTTTACTGTGATCCTGTTCTGTTTTTTATCACATACCCTTCCATTTCAACAAGATAAGATTTAACTTTATTTTACATCAGGTATATGAGTGTATCATTTATTTTATTCATTATGTAACCCTTCACATACATGTCATGTTCCCATTGTTGATTTGATTTTTGTTTTGTTCTCACATTAAAACTTTTCTGCTAAAAAAAGTTAGGATGAAACTGCTGTCCATCCAGTGCTTCCAGGTTTTCCATGGTGGTCTAACTTCAATTAACTTATGATCTGAACTATTGAAATTACAATAATATCCACAAAAACCCCTTTCTGATATTAATCATCATATGCTCACTAGTGACTGGGTTCGAGAAGTATATCCTGGACTTCTAGTGAGAAGCCGTGACTATTGGAATTCAACCTGGTCTGTTGTGAGATAGTAACTCACTGAAGACAATGGTGGACAGTGACACAATTTCGTGGATTGGTTTAAATTAGACATTAACACCGTTGGATGCCGGCCGGCTCAGTGCTTTAGAGGTCAAGCGTTCGCATGCGAGACCGGCAGGTCCTGCGTTCGAATCCCGAGGGTGCGGTATCGTGGATGCGCACTGTTGAGGAGTCCCACAATAGGATGAAATAACCGTCTAGTCCTTCCAGGTTTTCCGTGGTGGTTTAGCTTCAATTGACTCATGATCTCAGCTATTAAATTTGATTTTTATTGGTTATTTAGATCATCTCATTGATGTTGAAGACTGCAATATTGATTAATCTCTTTTTTACATCTAATTGACTAGTCTCAAATAGGATAAAATGAGCATTCTAGATTGTACTACTAGCTATCATTCGTCTCTGCTTACAATAATAATATACTCTGAAAATTATTATGGAAAAAAAACACCATCTTACGCGTATATTCATGTTGATACAAAATACTAGGTAATAATAACCAATCTAAGTGAACATTATTTTAAAGAATGTGAGTTGAGGATTTTAGACAAAATTTCGGTAGGAATGGGAAATACTGAAAGTTATAGAGGTATACATAAGTCTGAGTGAAATCACTATATAGTACAACATTAGTGGCACTCTCCACTGTTGAATACCAAATCAGTGGTCTAGAGGTTAAGCATTGATGCACGGGCGTCCTAGGTTCGACCCCACCATGGGAACTGCCGGGTAGCTCCACACACGGACGAAATAGCCATACAGTGTTTCCAGGTTTTTACTAGTGATCTAACTAAGGTCATTTCGCGATATAAACTGGAAATTTTATGATCACAAAACCCTTTTTTTGACAAAAGTAGATTCAGCAATCATAAAGTTGGCAGTAGTATACAAAGTAAATTTGTTTTGGTACGGGAAACACTACCTATATACCATTAAACAGTCTAGGTGCTATCACCTTCAGTTTGTTTATTCGGGTCATAACCTTTGATTTAATGATTATTACTTAGAGTTCTCGGAGAGTGACGGTACCAAGTGATAACATCACCTACTTCTCTTTTTACTTATATACTAATGGGAGGGGAACCAAGTCAGACGTCCAGTTCTAAAACTAAGGTGGGAGATACGGAAGGTACGCCTTGGAGAGTTGCAGAGTCATTGCGTCATACAAATAGTGTGCATAAGTTCCCGCATCCTGAACGGTAGAATGGTGCGCGAACCTATCCTAACCAATACTTAGCATGATACTCCGACTCCTGACTTCGCTCCTCTACCTGATGGATTCAACATCTAGGTTAAATTATCGAGAATCAGTTTACTAAGAAAACCGTCTACTTTTGCATTGAAGTTTAGGCAGTATCCCAGCTCACACAAGAATTTGATAATAAGTAAGCATATGTAAAATATTCTATTTGGTCCGCGTTACCATCCATTTAGACGAGTTCTGAGGTCACTTTATCATAAATGGATTCAATTTACATTGCTTCATTTTTCTATGCTGTTTTTTTTATCATTTTCTTAAATTAACTCAACAGCTCATCTCAGTTAAAAGTCATGTGTTGTCTAGACCGTACAAAGTTGCTGAATGCTCAATCTTATAACTGTTGCCAAATACGAAATCTGATACAACTTCTCTGAAGCTACGTATGCCACTTAAACTCCTTCGATGTTCTCACTGTAATCCAGGTCGGATAACATAGTTTCTGCAATATCTATAGGGACTGTTTATATTAGAGTAGGGTGTCCAGTTGATACACATATAGAAGACTAATCAAGTACTGTGGATTTATTCTCCACTTGTCTATTCGAAAAGTTTATTTCATGTACTTTGTGGTGTTGGAGTCCGGTTTCTTTGGTGTTAGTGTCTCATAGAAGTGCGGTAGTATTGTTAGACAATACTATTCTCACAACAGCAGTTATCTATGTAATATCATCTTCTAAGACTTATCTTACCAGCTATTGATTATTGGTCAAGTCTATTAGACGGTGTTGCACCATCACTCAGATTGTACATTCCAAAATCAAAGTACTTAGCGAATGGCTTGATTTGCTTACATAAAACAATTCAAATCAAATATTTATTTAAAATCAATCACTTTTTTTTCATGTAGAATGTTGTTTCAATTTCATCTTCAAAGTCAGTTCATTTAGTTTACTACTAATGTTCTCAAATGAACCAGTCAACATTTTCGTCATTACTTGAACAGTCTTCGTTATATAAATCATTCTGATCATCTAATGGTATTATTTCAGGAAACCGATATATTTTAGAATTCTGAAAATATAAAATAAACCACAGACAAATGTATCATTTAGAATCATGTTATAAAGATTGGATCAAGTTGTTGCTATTTAGTATGGTGGACTCCTCTTCGTAGGTTATTATACTCTGATTTGTAGTATATATTTTTGTGTATCAGCATTGAATGAACGTCGAAATAGCTTTTGTGTTTTATCATTATTAAAAGAGATTTGAGTTATTCTGTTGGTGATATTTTTGACTGCATTTTGATCAGTCGTTGTTGGAGTCTTTGTGTAGATTATCTCTATAAGATTTTTATAGAATAGATAGATAAAACGCCCGGCCTTCATTCTGATGTTATTAACAATTCATCTATTTTACAAAAAGTATGACAAAGTAGCTACATCGAAGCAACCCGATTAGGATGTACATAAGTCCACGAGAACTGTTCATAGTTCAATCCTGATTATCAAGAACATGAAAAATCACAGCCTTGCTAATAACGACGTAAATGTCATACCGATTGAACGAGTATGTGTCTGGACTCATTAGCTTAATGGTTAACTTATTGGACTTTCTAAGATACAGATATCTGGTTCGTGTCCTGATGTGAACATTGACATTGAGATTCAGGTACATCCAGCTGATGAGTCCAAGATATAATGGAGCGCATATCTTGGATTCAAATATCATAACTCACCTACTTTTACTTTGTTTTTATTCTGTTAAAATTAATACTTTGGAATTTCATTTTTATCATCATTTCCTGTCTTTTGTGTTATGATCTTGCATTATAGTTGCGACGATCAGGGTAATACTTCTCCCTTTATCGGATTGAATTTCCCTGAAAAATTTGATTTTTTTATCCACCTACAAACATGTCAGGATTTATAAAAGTCGTTCATCATTTGAGGCTTTATAGTTGTTTATAAGTCATGTACACAAAACTTTGACATATTTTAAACCTGTCTTTGAATATCAAAGCTTAAATAAGCGCATTATGGTATACAGTGTGAACTTAAGAATACCTACACATAAATGTTAAATACATCATTTATCAATCGTAATATAAGTGTTGAAACTACAACTTTGTGATTGAAATACATCTGATGAAAAAAATCAATAATTATTTTGGCGAGACTATAAATTATGGATGACCCTTGAGTGACCTTGAAATTGTCCACCTAATAACTAGGACCAAATGAAGGTTAGAAACTGGTGTGAGGAATTAGAATTGTGACTTGAAGTTGATGGTTAATGTTAGGAATTCCGTTTGAGGTTTTCATCATGAACTGACAGCTGAAATGCTAGAACTTTATTTAATCAAATGGATGAGTGAATTTCGCGCCAAAATGCGAGACCTGTTATTCTATGCCTGATTGGTTTGTCCATAAATTATAGTCTCGCCGTTATTTTGTATGTTATTTACTCTTTAGTATAGTCTCTTCATTTCATAATCCTGATTCTGTTCAAAACTAACTTCTGAGAATTTAAAGTGTTTAGCTAAAGATATTTATTAATTGGTTACGTAGACTAACGAATATACAGGCAAGTTTGAGCTTACAACCTAGTGGTTAAAATTTTAGTATATCAACCACTCAGCAACCGCCTTAGAACAAATTTATCATCTATCAAACTGACTGGTTTCTATGTTAGACGAGAGATCACTGAACGTTGAGTAGTTTACCGTATATCTCCAAGGTAAAGATTGACTAATAAATCTCACACCATGAATTAGCCGATGAGACAGGGGGTATTGTTCTGTAATTCCATAACCTATCCTTCCTTATATATGCTACCGCTTCGGTAAGTTTATTCATTCTAGTCAGCCACCAAGTAAGTTGATTCATTCCAGTACAACTGGAATAGACTAACCATCCACTCAGATTACCTACATTGTTAGTCTACAAGTGTAGTTTATATATCATTTTATACTTGATTATATATTACCTTTATACGAGTTCCACTTGAACTATTACAATGGATTTCAATAGGTGCATTTTCATAAAATCTCTTCAGTTGATCTACATTCTTTTGTTTCCATTTAATATTATTTACTCTATTCGTTAAACCATTATAATTCTGTTGATGTTCACTGTTAGACAAAAAAATATAAGAAAGGAGAATTATATTTCGAATACAAGTAACTATTTGATATTTTTTATCAATATACTTAACTACATTTAAAATTTTTCTGGTTGGCGTTTTTTTAGCAAGTTAGTTTTCTACGGGATGGGGTCGCTAACTCCATCCCCAACCCTCCTCCTTTACCCAGGCTTCGAACTGGCAGTCACTGTAGAAGAGCTACAGGCCAATGAACACATTACGTCGGGAAATAGAATCAGATATGAAAAGAATGAATAACAAGTGGGAGGAGTTGGAAAGGATTGCCCAGGACAGGGTTTGATGGAAAATGCTAGTGAGCAGCCTATGCTCCTGCACGATGAGTAACAAGCGTATATTCAATAAATATCTAATTCATTCAACGAACTATCATAGGTAATACCAATCACTGGTTTTTGTTATTTATAAATGCATAATGTAATAGTAACTATTGTGTTGTATCAATTACTGTTAATATAAGTAAGAATGTTTCACTATCCCCAATATATACAAGATGGTACCTATAGGACAGGCCTGTGTCACTTCTTCCATTTGACCATACGTGGGTAACTAGTTAAATATATTGATTCATTCATTGAAATCAGTATTTCAATTATCGTTAATGGATCGGTGAGTGTTTTTGCTCTAAAGCAACGAAACAAGCTGAAGTCAGTCAATAGCTTCAGTTGTTGGCTTTAAAGTATAAATCAACACTCTGTTTATAAGATTAAAAATGTATTTCTTTATTTATTTATTTGAACACATAAATATTAGTACAGGGGAGCACCAAATATATATGCGCCACACAAAACAATGATAATTTGAAGAGAAGGAGAAAAGAGAAAAAAAAGTAATGAACGTGGGGAATTATAAAAAAAAGGGAGAGAGAGAGAACAATGGTGGGGGAAACGGAAAGGTACAATCAGAAGAGATCTTTCAGTTAAGGAAGATACAACCACTTTTTATGAAGAAAGTAAAAGAAGGTTACAGCAGGATTGCCACTGGCTTCTATTCTGAGCCATATCTGATAACGTCTCTAGCCACTGCGTTACACCGTCTCTCGGACCCCAACCAGGGAGTCGTGAAGGACCAACAGAAGCTAGCCCTTTGCAGCTTTCTTTCATACCACGACACCATGTCATATACTGACCACCTCTCCGCTTTTTCCAACCAGTCCCAGAGTCTGCAAATAATGCACGACGTGGAATTCTCTGGGACGACATTCGTAGAGCATGTCCAAGCCACCGAAGTCGGTGTTTCAAGATGGTGACACCAATTTCATTATCGTCTCTGTGACCGAACACTCGATGCCGAACCTCTGCATTACTAACATGGTGTTGCCACTGGATGCCAGCAATCCTTCGGAGACAGCGATGATCGAACACAGAGAGTCGTCTAGCATCCTCAGCTCGGAGAGGCCAGGTTTCACAAGCATAGAGCAAAACTGCTCTCACCTTCGCGTTGTAGATCCGACCTTTTACAGCCAGACTAACATCACGAAGGCGCCAAAGATGGCCCAGATTGGCATAAGCCGCTCTGGCTTTCACTATACGTGCATTGATCTCATCACTCACACCACCACCAGCACTTATGCAGCTACCTAGATACACGAACTTCTCGACTACTTCAATCTGCTCACCATCCAGGGTGAGTATAGGATTAGAATCCTGCCAGTCTTGTAGAAGAACTTTGCACTTCGAAGGTGCAAAGCACATACCATATCTACGGACACTGATTGCCAACTGATTAAGTGCGGATTGCCTGGCTTGGGCATTCTCGCACAGTAAGACAATATTATCCGCATACTCAAGGTCAAGAAGTCTTTCTCCAGGCAACAGATCCACACCACCATTACTTACATCCATCAGAGCTGTTTCCAGAATGTCATCGATGGCAAAGTTGAAGAGGAATGGTTAGATTGGGCAGCATTGTCTAACCCCACTGCTTGAATGGAACAATGGAGAAAGGTGGTTGTATGCCCTCACTCTCCCTGAGGTGTTTGTATATAGGGCCTTCAAGATGTTAATAAACTTCTCAGGCACACTCTTCTTCCATAGACAGTTCCAGAGAACAGTCCTGCCCGACGAATCGAAGGTGGCCCTAATGTCAAGAAACACTACGATTGTTGGCCTGTGATAAGTATGACGGTGTTCTAACATTTGGCGGAGGGTGAAGATATGATCAATACATCCTCAACCAGAACGAAAACCAGCCTGCTCCTCGCGAGTCAATCTTTCTCGGGTTTTAAACAACCTACGCAGTATAACGGAAGCCAATAGCTTGGACGCAATCGGAAGTAGACTTATCGCCCGATAGTTGTTACAGGAACGACGTGAACCCTTTTTAAAGATAGGGACAACTATCGACTCATTCCATGACGTTGGTACACTCGCCCCCAAATGCCCTGGTACGGCCGAGAGTGGGGAGAGTCCGCTCTCCCTCTCGAAATGCTCTCACATGGCCACGCGTACATAGCCCCTGCCAGGGAAGTCCTACTCACTGCCTTCACGTGGCGGGGGTGTTGTTTACAAAAATGAGAGGACGAAAAGCGAATGTCCGGCGCTTTAACCGGATCCCAAACCAATGGTGCACATGGGCTCCAGTATCCTGAAGGAACAAATGGCGTATGAACCAATTTTTGGTCACCGGCTACCATGGGACTGCATCTCCTCATGATGCTCCACTGCCTTGTGGATCAGACGTTCAGGTCGAAGGCTCGGGGTGTGGCCCTCTAAGAAAACCACCTGCTTCGGTTTGGGCACCCGAGCAGTATCTCAGCCCACACACTAAAACTATGATGAACTATTAAAAATGTAGCTATACACTAATTGAATTTACGCAATTCTGACCCATTCAACAATAAGTTTGAAAATGTTTTATTATCGTCTAAAAATTGATAGTTGGGTTTCAGCGGGTCTTTTAAATTAGACCGTGATATTTCAGTACTTCGTGTTTGTTAGACATGAGCACTTATAAACTAACTACTTTCTATGTAAATCATTTTTTATTAAAACGAAAAACCAGTAAGCGAATAGTGACAACAAACAACTGTACTAACGATCTTAGTCAGTCAGTCAGCTGCAACGTAGGACCAGCCACGTATATGCATCGGTCCAAGTTGCCATACCGCATTAGCACAACAAGATGAACACCGGATTCATAGAAGTAGTTCATTCAGTGGTGGTTATATATAGAAGAAAGAGTGTGTATAAGGAGATAGTACAGGAAGAAAGAATTAGTTCCTAGAAAGAAAGATATGAAGCGATTTTAATCTCTTAATTTAAAGGAAGACAGAGTGTGTATACACCGACGCCATTGTGACTGATTCTGAACCATGTCAGCATGAGTCTCCAACCATTGGTTACGATAGTCACGTGGACCCCAACCAGGCAGTCTGAATCTACCAACATGGCTCAGACCAGAAGTTAGTGACTTCAAGCACTGATGCCACATTTTGGCTTGACCGCTACTAACTTTCTTCCAATCATCCCTAACACTGGTTAGCATTGCGCGTCGTGGTAATCTGTGTTCAGGCATACGCAGCTCGTGTCCCAATCATCTCAGTCGATGAAGATTCATAACCTCATCGACTGATTTACCATCATCTCCTAATACCTTACGTCTAACCTCACTATTACTTACCAGGTGATCCCAACAGATGCGAGCAATATTTCTAAGGCACCTTTGGTCAAATACTAGTAACTTACGAGTATCTTCTACTCTTAAAGGCCATTTTTCACAGCCGTATAGTAGAACGGAACGAACTGCCGCGCAGTATACTCGTCCCTTAGTTGATAGACGGATATCTCGCCTTCGCCATAGATGACGTAAGTTGGCAAAGGCTAAACGAGCTTTTCGAATCCGTGCTGAGATTTCGTCAGACATCAACCCAGTAGGGCTGATCAGACTTCCAAGATAAGTGAAGTTGTCAACGCGTTCGACTACTTCACTCCCTATCCTTAGTTCAGGTGTTGACGCAGACCAGTTCTGAAGCAACAACTTGCATTTAGAGGGAGAGAAGCGCATCCCAAACATTCTGGCATTGTTGCTCAGTGCTACCAAAAGGCTCTGCATTTCATCAGCGTCTTCACCAAACAGGACTATGTCATCTGCGTATTCTAAGTCAATAAGTGGACCTCCTGGTAGGAGATCAATACCCGAGAATTCAGTCGATGAGAACGTTATTTCCATCAGTAGACCTATGATGAAGTTAAAAAAATGGAGAAAGTGGACAACCTTGGCGGACGCCACTTGAGGTTGCAAAAGCAGATGACAGTTCGCCATAAACTCTGACTCGACTAGTAGTGTTCGAGTAAAGAGCCTTCACAATGTTTATGTACTTCTGAGGTACGCCTTTCAATGACAGACACTGCCACAGAACCTCTCGGTCAACAGAGTCAAACGCTGCTTTTAAGTCAAGGAAGACCACTATTGTCGGACACCGATAAGTATGCCTGTGTTCTAGAACCTGACGAATGGTGAATATGTGGTCTATGCATCCACGACCAGGTCTGAAGCCAGCCTGATTTTCACGTGTTTGCAGTTCACGAGTCTTAGTTAGGCGTCCGAAAATTACCGAGGCTAGTATTTTAGATACTATATTAGTTAAACTAATCCCTCTGTGGTTGTCACAGGATGATTTTGATCCTTTCTTAAATATTGGGACGATAAGTGATTGTGACCAGTTATATGGGATAACGTCTAACTCCCAGATTTTAGCTAAAATATTAGTCAACCTAATCGCTAAAACTAGACCACCATCCTTAAAGACCTCTGGGGCCAATCCATCTGGACCAGCTGCCCTTCCTCGTTTCGGATTAACTATAGCCTTTTGAACTTTAGCTAGAGTTGGGAGACCTACTTCAATATTCCATTCACACTGTCTGGAAATAGAGGGTAGTTGTAGAGTAGCTGAAGGCCAGCTAGACTGCTCCTCAAAGTGTTCCGCCCATCGTTCTAAACGTCTGGACTGGGGGCAGATGAGAGTGTCGTCTTTTTCCGAAATAGTCTGACTTACACTTGATTTATTAATTCCAGTTTCTTTTATTAGTCTGTAGAGTTGTCTTGTGTTCCCTATAGCCGCCGCCTTTTCCATCTCTCTTGCTTTCGTTGCCCACCACTGCTCACGGTCGTTCCTTAAACTTATGCTTAACCTAGATCTGATTTCTTTACGCTCTTCATCGTGTTCAAACCTGATGGGATGAGTTTACGAGAATCCATCAGTGTAATAGACCTTGAAGAAATCCATTGGTTCTTTGTAACCCTGTGGTTTGAATCACTAGTAGATGTCATTGCTGTTTCTACAGCTGCTTGTATAACTTTCCAAGCAACATCTGGGTCAGCCTCGTTTTCAGAACTACCTAAGTGTGACCTCAGTTGTTCCTGGAACCTACTTTTGGTTTTCTCATTACTCAATTCGGTTCTAATGAGTCTTTTTTGTGTGGCTTTTTTGCGTCCAGTGAGGCGCAAGCGGATGCGTGCTCGTACTAGGGCATGATCGGAGTCCAAACAGGTATTCCAGAATGAGCGACAATCTTCTATTGACCCTCTCCAATGATGAATGATGGCAATATGGTCTAGTTGAGTCCATCGTTGGTTTGGTGCAGGGGGTTGCCATGTTAGACGATGTCTCTCCTTATGCTTAAAATTTGTTTGCTAAAAATAAACGATTGTCTGAGCACAGTTGCAGCAGACGATCACCATTATCTGTTCGCTGTGCCGGAATACTAAAATACCCACCTAAATGTCATTCTGTTTCGTTTAAGCTACCTACCTGGGCATTAAAGTCGCCTGCTATGAGTACTATTTCTGAAGAAGTTCAGACAGCTTTCTGTAAAATTCATCTTTCACTTCATCCGAACTGCAGTCAGTGGGAGCGTAGGCAGAAACGACGAAAAGGCAACGACCTGTGTCCCTATCCTGCCGAGTTCTTATCGAGCCGTTTAGCCGAACAGCGCATAAACGACTGTTAACGGGGATTCACTCTAATAGCGCTTGTTCCGCCCTCATGCTTAGTGCTATGCCTACACCTGCCAGTCCACGAGTACCAGCCGTCGGGTCGCCAGATACACGGAGGGTGTATCTCGTCGGCTCTCCATTTTGCCGATGTGAGGTCAAGTGAATGACCACACTAGGATCCTGTATGCGTGTTTCGGAGACACAGCATACATCAATGGTACGAGATTCTAGGGTTTTAGCCAAGGATGCCTGCTGACCGATTTGGCATAGTGTGCGTACGTTGAAGGCTCCAATGTGTAGTTTGGACCGAGGTTTCAGTAGGCCTGGGACAGTGTTTTGAGCACTAGAATCGTTGGCTGTGGTGACACTTGAGGAGGAAGCCGAAAGAGTGAGTTTAGCTTTGAAAGTCGATGTAGGAGGAATAATAGGAATTGAAGAGGTAGGTTGATTATGAATACAGTGGTCTTGAGTGCTGTTAGAGGTATGAGGGCGGTTATCACTTCCCGGTTGCCCACACCGTGGAAGGGTTCTCCTGGAGGTACCTGAAAAGGAAATTGGATTAGAGGTGGTCACAGTGATCTGAGAGCGTGACCGCAGTGCCCAAGGGACAGCTGCTTGCGGTCGGTCATACACGACCTTTTTATGAGTGATTTTTGTATCAGTTCCGTACTTGTTGAGACCTTACCGCCGGAGACGGATGTCCGTGGGATAAGGCGAGGTGTGCATTTTTAGGGTCGACCTTTTCTAACCCCACCCCTCCTTGTGGGAAGGCAGTATCGCTGTCATGCTGGTTGTCTGAAAGAAACACTTTACTGCCATCACACCTCTGTACATTTAGCAGTAGGACTTCGCCTTCGAACCTTGTGTTTGCTGCTTTTAATCTTACCGCTCTTCAACCGACCTGTCTGGCATGGTAGGACCTTGAGGAACGGTTGTTCCAGCCAGTATAGCTCAGTTACTTCATCACGATAGGCAAGCCCGACCACCACGTCAAGGTAGCAACAACGATCGAGTGGCTCCAAAACTATCTTCAGAAAGTAGAGACTAGTTTGAATCAATCAGAACATCGTTGGTATGATTGAATAGGTCAGCACACTAAATTTAGAAATAAGAATTACAGTTATAAAATAATACAGCGTAGGCAGTTAGAAGTATCAATAAGAAGGGGGTAAGCGGATGCTATGAACCCCGTCCTGATAAACTACTCACTTACACCTGTTACTCCTCGTAGAGGAGCATAGGCTTCCCACCTGCATTCTCCTGGATAATCCTCTCCAGCTCTTTGCAGTTGTTATCCATCCATATCTGCTTCTATTTCCCGACGTAATGTGTTCTTTGGCCTTTCTCTTTTCTGCTTCCCTTTACGATTCCACATAGTAAGCGCTTGTCTCGTGATGCAGTTTGGTGATTTACGTAATGTACGTCTTGTCCACTTCCATCATCTTTTCCTATTCATCTAGAAGCTGGTTTGTTCTCTTCCACAGTTGGCTGTTGCTGATGGTATCTGGCCAATGAATGTTAAGTATTTTGTGTAGACAACTATTTATAAATAATTGTACCTTCTTGATGATGGTTGTAGCAGTTCTCCAAGTTTCAGCTCGGTACAGTAGAACTGAGTGTCTTGACGTTCGTATTGAATATTCTGACTTTGATATTGGTTGACAGTTGTTTTGAGTTCCATATATTCTTCAGTTGTAGGAATTCGGCCCTTTCTTTGCTAATCCTCGCCTTTACGTCTGCATCCGATCCTCTTTGATCATTGATGATGCTTCCCATTTATGTGAAGGTTTCTACATCTTCCAGAGTTTTGCCATTAAGTGTGATTGTGTTAGTGCTCTCCGTATTGTATTTGAGGATCTTAGTTTTTCCTTTGTATATGGTAAAAAGCGCTAACCAATCTTGATAAATAATGGTGCAATTAGTTTTTATTTTAATTTTAAATGCTCAAACCGTTTTGATTAACACTTAAACTTATAAATTATGATCTGTATTTTTTATTATTCACATATTTATCACTTTTGAGAACTTTAGTAACTGAGTAATAGTATTATTTACTTGGCTTTCTGATAAGAAAACCAGTAGTCTCCATTTTCAATCTAATTGACTAGTCATTACAGTATACTATTACGTAAGTAAAAGAGGAAGAATGTATTTGTAAACTCTCTGCGAAAAAACTTGAAGTAAATCCAACATTTCGCCTGGCAATTTGGTCCAAGCCTTTTCAACGCCCAAATATTGTGAAATTATTCGATCACATTTAGAAGAAAGTTCAAGAACAAATCAGCGATGGCATTACACTCGATAGAAATGGATCATACAATTAATTCCAATAGCACAATAATCCGTCAAAAAAGCTTTAATTCTTACAAAGAGAGACTAACAACTGAAGTCCTACATATATGGACTAATCCAAACAGCATTAATAGGAGAGATGGAATACAACTAGCTGTCCCATGGCAACTAATAATTAATAAGTAAACCTAAACTCTTTATTCCATTCTATCTATATCGCATTAACTAATTAATAGATATTACATTCAACGGTTCAAATCAGTTATCTTATCTGAATATGTTAAACAGTTGACTGGAACATTAAAAATAACACAAACTTTCAATTACAAATACATTCTTCCTCTTTGAATTCATTCCTTTATCTTGTTTATTTATCTTTATGTATACTGTGAGATTTTTAATTCATTTCATATATAAAAATCACATATTTTCTTAATATTCAACAACCGAAGACAATATATAGTTGAATGAAATTTCTTCTCACATCACTTACGTATACACACAATCTGTTATCTTAACACTTTTCGTTTCACACCAAATGTCTCTTACACAATTAATGTAAATACCTACTTTAAACGTCGTTAACGTGGATTGGATGGTCTATTCAATATACAGTGAACCGGAGAACCATGTACCTATTTATATTCGATAATTTTGATGTTCGATTATATTTTCCTTGAAAAAGCTTGGATCAGATTGCCGGGAGAAACGTTGGATTTACTTCAAATTGATTCGCTGAGATTTTGCAAATATAACTTTCTTCCTCTTTAATGTCTCACATTAACTCGTTGCCCAAATACTGTGAAACTATTCGACCAAATTTAGACAAAAGTTCTTATTTATTATTCTGCTATTACGTAATTAGTTATTACAAAAGCCATTGAATTCATAATACTTATACAAATTTATCCAACTTTATTCTTACTTTTCATCCAAGGTATTCAAGAATATATTCAATGATTCAATAGATACTTCTGATTTACATAGTTCCAAATCAATTTTAGGATAATAAAATATATAATTAACACACATTTCACTGTTTATTCCTATTCCACCAAAAATCACTTGATTCTTTTGACTTGTATCATAAGTACAAGTTGTTATTAAAGTATCACCCTATTTAAGAAAAAATGTATTATAATATTAAGTTAAGAATTTATTATTTATTTGAACATATAGATATTGGTACAAGCAGGGCATTAGATAAATATGGGCCACACAGATCTCATTTAATTTGTGCGAATGTTATGATACTGCCCAGGTGCCCAAATCGAAGCAGGTGGTTTTCTTAGGGGGCCACATCTCGAGCCTTCGATCCAAATGTCTGATCCATAGGGTAGTGGATCATCGTAAGGAGATGCAGTCCCAGGTAGCCGGTGACCAACGATTGGTTCATACGCCATTTGTCCCCTCAGGATACTGGAGCTCATGTGCACCATTGGTTTGGAATCAGGGTTTTCCAACTCCCCTAGGTGGACTCTCCATGTCCAGTAACCCTGTTAAAGCGCCGGACATTCGCTTTTTGTCCTCTCAATTTCGTAAACAACAACCCCGCCTCGAGAAGGCAGTGAGTAGAACTTTCTAGCAGAGGCTATATACACGTGGCCATGTAAGAGCATTTGGAGAGGGAGAGCGGACTCTCCCCACTCTCGGCCGTACCAGGGCAAGTAAATTATTTACATTGAGTTACGTCGCGTCTTGACATCAAATATATGAACATAGAAAAGCAGGAAATGTTGAACAGCTGTTTCCTCTCACTAGTACTTATGGACTCGTATGGGCTCGTATGTGCATGCTGTTGAGAAATCCTATATTGATACAAATAAACCATTTAATCCTTCTTGTGTCTGTGGTGAAAATCATTTATGACTACAACTAATCCTCATAAAATCGATCAAAAAAATTCTCTTTTCCATCATATTATTGGTTATATACTACTTACTGGTTTTATTTGTATTTGTTGGTCAAGTTGACGTATTTCTTGAAAATGAGGTGAATAGTTATTATCTCTGTTAAGATCCGGTAATCGTGTTCCATTTCTTATATGATATGTAACAACTTTTATCCCTGTTAAATGTGTATGTAATTGTGATGCGAAAACAAATATTCCATTCGGTTTCGGTATAGCCTAAATAAGTATTATGAAAGAAAACAACATAGTTACTAGTTCAATTTAATGTTTTTAAACTTATCTTGTCTTTCAATCATAAATAAACGGAAAGGTGAGACTACAATTTATGGACGACCTTTGAGCAATGCTGGAGTGACCTTGAGATTGTCCACCTGACAACCAGGAACAAATGAGGGTTATAAATTAGTTCAAGTAATTAAAATTATGATTTGCAGTTGATAGTTAAGGTTAAGAATTAGATTTAGGGTTTACATCACGAACTGATATCAGCTATAATACCCAAACTCTATTTATCCGAATGGATGAATGAATTTCCGCCACAATCCAAGATTTATTATCTTATACCTGATTAGTTCGTCCACAAATTATAGTCTCGCCAACGGGAATCGTCAAACTCTGATCACTGTATATAGTTCCAGTGGTTAAATATTATTGCTATACATTACACAGATCAATAGCTTTTAGTTCAGAATAGGAAGTAGTGGGAGACGAGTGACTTTAATTACATTACAACTAGAACACTATTAAATTTCGGGTCGATTTCTTTAAGAAAATTCATATTTATTTTCAGTTTTAAGGAATAACTGTGTTCACCCCCCCCCCACACAAGACAATAATTCAGTACAAATATAATATAATGTTTTTCAATCCTATTATAGCGAGATGCTTTCGCTTCACCCAGGACGTAGGGGCTTGAAGAATGCTGGTTGGTGGCCCATGCTCCACTGAGAGTAACATGTGTAGGTAAGTATGTAAGCCTTCCCTCCAGCAATGCCATATCAGTATCGATTGCACAGTGAATAATTAATAAGTGGTTGATAGATATCCATTACAGTTTATACAATTTTAGGTCGGTTTTACGATTTTGATCATAACAGAATGAATCTATCAATTTTAAAATGCATGAAAGGTCTCTGCCAGTTGCCGATAAACTTTCAATGCAAACGCAATTTGTCAGGATGTAATTATTCTTTCCCAAAATATTCTATCACTAACTGAATAATTTTCGAATGTGATTCATTGATGCATTGAAAACTTCATGTCAGAATCTTAAAGACATTTTATGTCCCACTTTTAACGTTTTAGATATAGTTTGTGATAAATCTTCTGACTGAATGCTTGAGTCGGTTTCCTAGGCTCTTCTAGTAACCTGAGGCTAAATCTACACGATAACTTGAACATGAGAGAAAAAGCGTGGAACATGGAAACAACGCTTTACTCTAAAGTTCGTTTATGTTCAGAAAATTGAAGGAATTTATAGCATTTCAGATGGGCTGTTGAAGAACACATGGAACTCAAAACAAATGTCGACCAACATTAAAGTCACAATCTTCAATGCAAAAGTCAAGACAGTTCTACTGTATGGAGCTGAAACGTGAAAAACCATCACAACCGTCATCAAAACGGTACAAGTACTTATAAACAGTTGTCCAAGCAAGATACTCAAGTCCATTGGTCAGATACCATCAGCGACAGCCTACTGTGAAAGATAACAAACCAGCTCCCAGATGATGAGGAAATTAGGAAGAGACTATGAAGTTGATGGATAGGACAAACATTACGGAAATCACCAAACTGCATCATGAGGCAAGCGCTTACTACGTGGAATGGTGAAGGGAAACGGAAAAGAGGAAGGTTGAAGAATACACACACTACGTGGAGAATTGTAAGCAGACATGGAAAGGATGAGTAGAAAGGAGTAGAAAGGATTGTCGAGTGCAGAGTTGGGTGGAGAATGCTGATGGTTGGTCTATGCTTCTCCATGAGGAGTAACAGGCATAAATAAGAAGTAAGTAGATAGAAATTTAATTCATATCCTAAAAATATGATGAAGTTCAGTAAGGGTCTCCGCTTTGTCCGAAGATACTACATCGGACAAAGCGAACACGCTCTTCATCTTCTCCTGCCATGACATGTCGTCACTTGTATCAATGTACGTGAACTACTGAGGACACATATTCGACTGGAAAAGTGTGGAGATTTTAGATAGATGCAATTCTAAAAACACCAGAGAATTTATAGAAGCTTGTCACTCAGGTCAATCAGCAATCAACAAACACATTGAAATCGATCCAATTTATCAACCAATCAGGAAGATTATGCACAAACAAAAATCAAACCAATGGGAGATACGACCAAAATAAAGAAGTAAATAATGATAGGTTTAAGGTCCACAAGAACCAATCAACATCGGGGTGTACAAAACAACCTATGAACTACATGTGGAGAAATTCGAACACTTCACTTCTACCTGAAGTTTGTGTTGATGATTTCGTTCGGAATAATGATGAAATCACGACCAAACCATCGAGCTCAGATAACAAAACTTCACAAAAAAATAATTATTAAATAATATACATCTTACTATATCAGTACATTGAGAATCACAATATCCAGCAAGAATAAATTTTGATTGGTTATATGGAATGAAATTGTTTGATGTGTAGACTAATCCAAGTTCCATTATGCCAACATCATACTTTCTTAATTGATTGGTAATGTATAAACGAAATCCACTATTATCCATGATACCTAAATATAAAGAGACCATATAAAACTGTTGTCTGAATGCTAATATAACAGTCAATTAATAATGAAATTTGTTTTAATTAATTTATAGACAAATTAACCAAACTTTAAATTACTTACTTACTCTTGTTACCCCTCATGGAGGAGAATAAGTCAATCATCAGCATTTTCCATCCAACTCTGTCCTAGACAATCCTTTCCATATTTTTCCAACTACTATTCATCCTTTTCATGTCTACTTCCAATTCTGGACGCATTGTGTTTTTTGGTCTTCTACTACTCCGTTTCCGTTCACGATAGTAGTAAGCGCTTGCTTCGTGATACAGTTTGGTGATTTCCTTAATGTATATCCTATCCACCAACTCCATCGTTTCTTCATAGTTTCCTCCTGATCTGGAACTTAGTTTGTTATCTTCCACAGTGGTCTGTTGCTGATTGCATCTGCTCAACAACGGACATTGAGTATCTTACGTAGACAACTATTTATAAATACTCGTACCGTTTTGATAATGGTTTTAGTAGTTCTCCAGATTTTAATTAAGGACTCATAAATTTCTGCTGAAAATTCGAAATATGATGATGTATAGAGGCCTATACTCCTTTACGAGGGGTAACAGGCGTAAGTAATAGCATATACATTATTCAGAGTTAATAAAACTTTCCTATACTTAGTTCTTAAAACATTTACTATTGATGAATATGGAGAAACTAAAAAAGAATAGTAACAAATTGAACCGGTTCTTACTATAACATTTAGAAAATGATAAAAAGTCAAATAGAATGAGAACTTGAAAAATACCATTTTAAACATGATTTGTAATTTTTTCAAGGTAAGCCTAATTTGTAATTCTAACCATTTTTGCATTTAGCAGAGATATAACTAACGATGTACTACTGGATGTATTGATTAGAGCAGTGATGAGGTCATTTTTTGTAGCTACTCTCTATCTAAAAATTTTCAAGTGAATTACGGTGGTTCTTCAACTAGACGAGATGTTACCTGGTTTTGCCACAACTATGTGTATTTACGATTTTGCCTGCTTATTCTGGAGAACATACGTCGGTCGCACAACCAGATAACTAAGCCAACTAGTTAGTGAGCACTTCACTTCGTGGTTGGGAAATGGAGTGACAATGTCAATACACAGTTAGTTGTGCAGTGATTTAAAAATACCTAAATGCAATTTAATAATCCACTTCAGTTTTAGACGAAAACTGTCAACCTCAATGGACAAGTCAAGATTTCTCAGTGGTTGTTAGAATTATAGAAAGTGAGGGGAAACTTCAGTATTATAAACGTTATTTAAATGATTCAGATTGATTTTGACAGAATTACAGACTAATAAAAATGAGAGATAGAAGATTAGCATATAATTTATACAAAATAAGTTGCAGTTTACAAGATTAATCACATTGTATGTTTCACATATATTTTAGTCCAGGGACATAAAGAACACAGAAATTAGCACCGTTGGATGCCGACCGGCTCAGTGGTCTACAGGTTAAGTGTTCGCGAGCAAGATCGAAGACCATAGTTTTGGATCTTGCGAGCGGAATCGTGGCTGTGCACTGCCCAGGACTCCCTTACTAGGATGATACGGCCCTCCAGTGCTTCCAGGTTTTCATTTGCGGTCTTACACCAATCGATTCATGAAGTCAATCAAAAACGTATTAATCTTCACAACCCCATACTGATAACACAGTTATCACACTTAACAGAGCATAAACCAATCAACGAAAATCAAGTCTAACCATTATACAACATACATAATGAAGTTTTTTTTACCATGTTTCCTTAAAACAATTCATATTTATCTTCTGGGCCGATTGACGTCCTCTAATTATTATATTGTCCACATCTAATATTGTTCATTATTTTAATTCATCGTGAACATTCTGATTTAAATTAATATTTGCCATCAAATAAATGGTCAAAACCTTGGTGGAGTTTTGTTCTCTGAGCTGTATGGTTTGATTGTGGAGATTTCGTCGTTCTTCTAAGCGACATCATCAGCACTAACTTCAGGTGGAAATGAAGTTTATACTGATGATGTTGATCAGTATAATGATGAAATCTCCACGACCAAATCACTCAGCTCAGAGAATAATACTCCATCAAAATCGACAACCTGAGCTGCAAATCTTTTCCACCATCTCATGGTCAAAATCTATTGTCTAACTTACCCATATTAGTCAGTCAATTTTAAGTCAATTGGAATTCAGATTATCAATTAATTGAACTTACCTGATATATTTTTTGGATTATTATAATGTATTTCAATTACTGCATATTCTTTGCCACGTAAACCCCCAATAGGAATCCCAGCTTCTTCTGGAAAAGTTAATCCCTGGTAATGTTTTGTAATAATTATTAATTTTGACAAAATAGGAATGTGAACAATAATTAGTATCTAAGGTTTTATAAATGAATTGCCGATACACTAATGGACTTGCTTACCATTTGGATAGACTAACGGTAGATATAAAGATGTAAAAAGCCCATGGGAACTCATAGTTTATTAATAAGATACTTAACAACCAGCTACGGAAAGTGTAAGTACATTCAGTGGTCTAATAAGCTTTCAGTTAGGATATATTTGGTGTTTATTTTGCTTTGTCTTGATATAACAGTTAATGTACCTTACCTAATCACGATAGAATGATAATTTTATAAGCCTGATAAATACAAGTTGAGTTTTCGGTATGTTAAAACATAATTAGAGACCAACTTATTACTCTTAAAAGAACATTGTTATGATTATTAAGGTTTAACTTGATAATGTCAAATAATCAGAGAGGGGTTTTTGTGAATATTATAGTAATTTAATAGTTGGATTCATGAGTCAGTTGAAACTAGACCACCATGGAAAACCTGGAAGAACTGGACGGCGTTTCATTCTAGTATGGGACTCCTCAGCAGTGCTCACCCACGACCTCGCCTCACGAGATTCGAACCCGGGATCTGTCGGTCTCGCGCGCGAGCGCTTAACCCCTAGAGCACTGAGCAGGCCAGCATCCAACGGTGTTGATGTTTAACTCCGACTAGTCCACGAAATTGAGCGACACATTCACGATTGTCATCAGTAAGTTACTCTTTCACAACTGACCCGGTTGAATCCCATTGGGTAGATTGTCACTAATAAAAATAATTTATTTGTAATATCCCAATAAGTGTTAGCCACTTCTTCAGTACAAAGGGAGAAAACAAAAAATATTTAGTACAAACAGCTGAAAAATAGGTCTGACAAAGTCAATGTCATACCACTTCGGTCAAAGTGATTTATATGAGACATGCATGTGTATTTGTGTGTGTTAATGGGTGAAAAATGTGACATATGTAATGTGAAAGGTTAGAGTTGAATTTGTATATCAACGAACAGTAGTTCTGTACATAACTATTGTATCACTAACCTATTGTAATGTAATCGTTTTGCATCCATACTTGAATTTTAAATATAGGATATCGAGTAGCCAATAAACGATCGTAGTATTGAACATTAGTGCTGAATTGGAAATAGATTTTGCTCTGTACTATTTACTAAAAAATTGTTTCCCTTTAATTTTTGGCTGTTATGAATTGATTCAATAAATTATAATTATGTTCATTGAGTTAGTTACTAAAGTATTATTTATTTACACATTCCATTAAAGTTAACTTACTGTTGATCCCATAGCCCAAGCTGCTATTACTTCTCTACATTCTTTCAAATCTTCTGGTTTTGTTTCTGAATTACATGGTGCATCATAGTAACGCTTAATATGTCCAGGACAACGAAAAATTTCCATATGATGAATAAGTCCTTGACTTGTTTCTGGTATGTCATTTTCATACTTGATTTATAGAAGAAAAATAAGGTTTTTGTTATTGTAAAGATAATTAAAATTTTTGACAGAAAAATTTGGTGTTGATTTTGGGATTGTGGAGATTGTTGAATTTCATTGAAATCATGAGCTGATCAATGTCAGTGTAATGTTAAGAACCTGAATGGCCTTTTCGTCTTAGTATGTGACTCCTCAATGTTAGCTTAACATTGATCAGCCCATTATTTTAATCTCCACAACCTCAAACTGAAAATTAAGATAGGCTCACTAATAATGAGTTTCGAAAGGCAATTCTCGAAGTTCTAGTGGGAAGCCGTGACCAATGGAGTAAACTATGTTTCGCGTGATGCAGTTACTCACCGAACACAATGAAAGATGGTTGCGCAATATCGTGGATTGGTTATGGTAAGATATTAACTCCATTGGTTACCGGTTATGTGGATTAGAGGCTAAGCGTTCTCACAAGACTGAAGTTCTTGGGTTTGAATCCCGCGTGTGGGATCGTGGATGCACATAGCTCGGGAGCTCTATACTAGAACGAAACGAAAGTCAAGTGCTTCCAGGTTTCAGTTATGCTCTAACATTGATAAGTCCATGATTTAAAAAATGATTGGTTAATGTTCATCTAAATGACCCGCTATGACATCGTTGCTTATTTCGTTAGCTTAGTTAAACTAATTTCTCTAATAATTGACCATTTAATATGGATTTCACAATATTTTGCAGTATTTTGCTCGGCTTTTGTCAACTTTCATAGATATCTATTAGATTTCTGAACGTGAACAACTAGAAGACAAGTTTTATTATTTACTCTCATCCCTTAACTAAGACTTGTTGTTTTGTGAACTTAGTAGCCGTCTTATTGCATTTTAGGACATCGGAACAAAGAGTAACATCCAATTATCCAAAAAACAAATTTCTTTCCAGAATCTATTCACTAGGAGATCTATTGTTCTTTTTTTTGTATTTCACAGATAATTTTGAATGTGCACACTAGTATCAATCTTAAAATCACACTAAAATAGTAATACGATAATATTTCTTTTGTACTCTATCTATTCTAAACCCAAGTGGCGGCTAAGTGGTCAAGATTTAGAATTTCAGTTTCAATGCTTGGAGATCGATCCTTGATCTATCTATTTCAATCAAACAATAACAATGCTCATCAGATAAAATGTATACATGTATATAAAGTGAATATATGATCCGGTATTAACCATCCAAATGATCTTTTTATCAATCCATATGTATTTTCTGGTTGAAAAATAAAAGGTATTTAAATGATCTTAACAAGTGATGTTAAAATAAATTTACCCTGACTATATGATGTGGTTCTGAGAAATAAGGCAGTTCAACAGTTTTACACCAGTACGTTGTTTCCACTGCAGGTATTTCAACCTAAATTAGAAAGTTTAAATAATAATTAAAGTCAAACATAAGCATTCTAAGTTAAATGATACCTAACATCTATCCGTAGAGTCTAGGATCCCAATCTTGTCCTATTTATAATACACTAATCTGAATAGTCTCTATTCCAAAGTTGATATTCATAAACGTTGCCCACTAAGCCACTCTGACAAATTATCTACCAAATTGACCAATGGGAATGATACATGATACATTAGGTTTCGAAATCATCTGTATAGGTTAGATGTATTGTGGTATGCGCACCATTTATTATTCATAATTCCAAATGCATTGAGACTCTACTGCTACATTTTGAAGGGTAAAAGATTCCACTTTCGAGATCACAAATAAAATAATCAATGATTTCAGTATCTTATAGACATTGCTTGATGAATCACCGTTGAACGACTGAGCAAATATGAAAGTTACCTTATTCATTAGCTGAAAATACGTGTTTTAAAATAGCTTACGTTGATGTTCAAAAAATTGCTTAACCTCATCAACTGACATTTTGCAATGATTTTCTATCGTTCATCAATCAATTCCAGTATAACTTTCATAATTGATACCTTCAAACAGTCTTACATTAGAATGATCAAAAATGTATTACTTATTCGAATATAAGTAGTAACTAAATTGCTAAAATACAATGAATCATGTAAATATACAGAAGAAAAATTCAGATCACAATATGATGATAGACTCACTTTATGAATATGAATTGAGAATATTTTAATATCTTCAGTCATCTTCAAATCAGTGTATAATGAACCTTTAATTAATTGTAATAAAATCTTCTTGTGTGGAATTCGTCTCATTTCTAAATTGTTCAATGAAATGATTGAAGCCAATCCCATTCGATGTAACCACATTTGATAAATTGCATCATGTCTACTGAAATGATCATACATACTATGGAATAAGAATAGATGAGTTGTTTGATTCTGAATGGAAATAAAAAGTAAACATTGGATAAATTGACTATCAATTGTAATAACTGAACTACTCATTTATTCAATACATAAATGAGTATCTATATTTAGAAGTTAAACTTTACCCTGAGTGTAATCTTGTGAACTACTCCCAGTCACGATACCAATAGAATAGAAGGATAGGTGTTTGGAAGATATTACAAGTTAACAGATTTTAGCATATTGACGAAATTTCCAATTGGAAATCCTCATCTCTTATCATGAAAGTCTTTAGTAGCCCTGGAATCTCTGACTCTAATAGGATCGTTTGTGATTACTATCGAAATATTCATGTCACAAATCCTCGCATATAATTATTGACCAAATTCGCGTTAGTGAATAAGAGAATTAGTTAAGTCAAATATGATAACAGAGTATGAATGCGTGTATTTCATACAATCGTTGATCTGAATAGATAATCAGAGAGGTGGAGTTAATGAAGCGAAGAGACGATGGAGCAGCGAAACTAAATGATGCGCGGTGGAGAAGGCAGGTGAGTAGACTCGGTTTAATCAAGCCTGGATCGAAATTTAATATCAGACAAAAATAAGTTACAGCCATGTATTGAGTAAGATAATGAATGGACACGCATCCTTACATAAAAACACTCGAAATTGATAAGCGAATAATCAAAAAGGTCATAATGTGACTCAAAACGAGTGAATAAATTGGCTTGTTCGGAAGCCAGAATAGGCTGTATGAGCCTGACATAGCAACAGACATCACAAGTCTATTGTCTTCAAAGAATATGGATATATTATTATTACATCATCGCATGTTTCGTCATGAGGTAAAAGAACAACCGCATTACAACACATTCTGTTGACAACAAACTCTTAAACTCAGATCTTTCTATTGACCAAATCGTCATATTCAATGAATTCCACTTAATACATTTAATCCAGTCATAATTTACAGAGTACTTAGATAGCCGTCATACACCCTTCAATCCACACTAAAATATCATGTCCTAACTTCTAGACGCTGATCGATTGATTCACAAACTCAAAACAACTGTTAAAAATCACACGCGTCGCATCATCAAAACAAACCATCTAGTCACAACCTACTACAAAACATTATCACTCGAACTGTCCAATTCACTGGTGAATTAGATTCCACAGGTGAGTTCGACAAACCCACCATTCGTCATCATCAACATCATCATCAGTACTAGTAATTCCAATCACCAGTTATAATTCCAACAAACTCACTTCATCATCAACATTCAACGTGTATTGTTGCACTTCACAAATCAATCGAGCCCACAAACATCATTTCCACTCCACCCCATCTCCAGTCTTTGTTTCTTCCCCCCCCCCCACACACACAATATATCACTTCCTGACTATTCTCATTCTATGTGACATGTTGATTTCCTCCAAACAATACATGCAATTTCGGTATTGCGGTACAGTTGTATTGTCATATTGTGGCTGAATTTACTTCCGATATAACAGAAATCTTTATCGTTCCCACATAAATCACATCGAGATGATGTCTGATATAATTGAGTAACTAACGTTATCGATGTAACATCATTCAGTTGTTTAGATGAGGCGTACTTGTACTTTACATGTGTATCGGTCTGATTGTAATTGTATGTCAGTAGATTGTGAATTCTCCTTTGTCTATCAATGAAATGAATTGTACTGATAAATATTTTTCATTGAAATAAACATAGTTTTTCCTGAATGTTGAATAGTTTTCAAAGTTAACCAAGTATACCAAAATATATCATCCTCCATGCATATTTGCTTATGCCTATATCAGATCGAGCTAGGAAAATAATCAGCTATATTTATGCTTAACCACAATAGCGTCAAATAAATGAAAAATACCTAGGCGGCCTGGTTGATTATCTGAGCTACCTGTTCTTATTATTTAGATATTTCAACGAGTTATCTGTTTCACTATTTATTTTAAAAGATTATTATGTCATTTTATCATATAACCTATTCAGGTGCAATTGTGAAAAGTTTGCAACCTTTCGCTGTAAAACTTACAAAAAAAGTATAGTCAGAGACATCGTGGTTGTTGACATTATTCATCGGTAATAATGAACATTATTCAGATGTCGATTCCTGAACTGTTAACATCTAATTGGCGATCACTCAATATCGATTAAGAAATAGGAAACGGAAACTTGTCGAAATAATTTGTGCTGAGAGTTCTATATTGTTTCATATCAGAAAGGGGCTTTTGTGGATATTAAAATAATTTAATAGTTAAGATCATGAACCAATTGAAGCTAGATCACTATGGAAAACCTGGAAGCCCTGGACCTCTTATTAGTGTTTAGGTATCAATCCTTTTTTGATCTCTCCAGATAATATGTAGACTTTGCATCAAAAAACACCTATTGTTAGATGTATGTCATATTTCTTTCAACTTCAAGTCTCACTATATATGTAAAGATGGATAGTGGCTAGCAGTGGAATCCAGGACGCGCGTCTCGTCCTATTCGGGACTCGTCAGCTGCATGTACCTGCATCGTAGAGTTGATGTTCACTCCACGATTTCAATCTGGTTGATTTCAAAATGAATAAACCTATTTCAATCACCATTGATCAAGTTGATTTCAATTTAAAATTTTCGTATAGTTACATTATTCTTGATTTTATTATTATATATGTTTACATAAACACCTCAATAAACATAGTTATTCAAAGGGGAATTTTAGTTACTATTATCTATGAGAATAAAATTACAATGATGAGTATATTTGATTGTTAACTTCTATGCATTTAGAAAAAAAGAGGGACTTATTGTTCAAATTTATATCTGACTTTTGTTTTCCTTCAATGTACCTTTAGATGTAAACATGGAAGATGGAGGTGTTTTCATTTGTGAAGCTGTTAATATGTATGGTAAAGTTAGTCATTCAGTCACAGTTGAAATTGGAGGCACAAGTAAGTTGTTAAACGGTTATTTTGTCTTCTGTTTTATTTAAAGGATTGTGTAACAAAGATTTACTGTATACATTTTTGATAATTTATTACTTATGTTAACCAGTTATGCATGATAGGTAATTGGTATTCAGTATGGGTATTTAAGTACTCTAATTCATAGATATTGATATTTGTTTGCTATCATGAATAAACCATTAGGTTAGTAATTTAATAGTTGAATTCATGAGTCAATTCAAGCTAGACTACCATGGAAAACCTGGAAGAACTGAACGATTGTTCTCAGGTTTTCCACAAAAACCCTTCTGATATTAACCAACATATGATCACTAGTGACTGATTTCACGAGGTATATCCCTGAGTTCTAATGAGAAGCAGTGACCAGTGGAGTTCAACCGTTTCTGTTTTGACATAGTAACTGAGTGATGACAATAGTGAATGTGTCGTTCAATTTCGTGGATTAGTTGAAGTTAAACATTAACAAAGTTGAATGCCGACCGGCCCAGTTGTCTAACGGTTAGGCACTGGTGCGCGAGACTGACAGGTGCTGGGATTTATTCTTACGATGCGCGATTCTCGTTGCGTACTGTTGAGCAGTCCCATAATAGGACGAAATGGCCATCGAGTTCTTCCAGGTTTTCCGTGGTTGTCTAACATCAATTGACTCATGATCTCAACTATTGAAATTCTAAATTGTACCAAAAATATAATATTGAATAAAATCAATAATAATAATAGTAATAATAAGAAGAGGAAGGAGATCTTGCAAGATTAAAATGTCAATAATGTTGACCAATATACAGTAAATACTCACATTGATACTGTAACCATTTTCACGACAGGAAGTTGCCATTCTTTCAAAATTAAAACAAATTAATTGTTCATTATTATTATTGTTAGTTATTTTTCGTAAATTCGGAAGTTCTACTGCATACAATTGACTTTCCATAGCATCTCTAATATGTAACATTGAATTTTCATCAGTATATGCCTCCTGTATTTAGAAAAAAAAGATAATGGATTAAGTTTACATGAATTATAAATTGAATTTAATGATTCAAATAAAACATTCAAAGAGGAACTTTTATTTTCTCCTGTTAACTAATAATAAATCTTTATGAAGGCATGGTAACTATCTTGTAATCAATTTTGATTATGGTTGACATTTTGGTTAAACCCTTTTATTAACTTTCTTAACAGACAATGGTATTTGGTTAGTAACAATTCGCATATTTCTTTGTACTGTTATGATCATCAGGGTATATATATACTCAAATCCTATTATTAGCCTTTGCTTTGCCTTGCTGTGCTCTTATGTAATTTGACTATAAATTTGCCTATGTAATTGCTCGCATATACTTATTCGCCTCTCTGCTTCAAATTCGCTTGATGTGATTATAGCTTTGTGATCTGTCCTATCCGCTAATAAACTGTAGTAGCTGCTTCTCATTGCCATTTGATTTCAAACACCGTCGAGATTTATATCATAACAGTTATCAAGGTGATTGATTAACGAAGCAAAGCCACTTGTCTAACAGATGACCTATTTTGAAAAGTGAAAACGGATGATATAATCATGAACAAATGCATTACATAATAATTACGGTATGTAGTAAGTAGAAAAATTCGAAATGTTCAAAAACAAAGAATATTTGAAAAAAGATGATTATTAATATTCAAAGTAATTATTAAATCAAGAAGTTGTTACGTTGCATAATATATGGAAAGAGAAGGAATAGAATTTGTAATGGATGGTTAATAGGTTAGTAGTTACGTAAAAATCAAGAGATGGATGTTGAGAAATTATAAAGTTCAAAAAAACGACAAAAACAAAATTAAAAAATTTTAAAAAATTTGGAAAAAACCAAATGTGAGAAGTATGGAAAATAGTTTTGTTGAAGTTAATCTTACACCAATGGCCAAGGAAGCGAAAGCAGTTGCACAAATTTCTTTTGAATGCAATGGCCAGGTTTGTGAACATGGATTACTATCAGAAGGGATTGTGTGGAATTTCTAAAATCTCCACACAATCCCTTCTGATAATAATAATCATCTGCTCACTAGTGACTGACTTCAAAATAGATACTCCTGAAGTTCTAGTGAGAAGCCGTTACCAGTGGAGTTCAACCAGGTCTGTTGTGAGATATCAGCTCACTGAAGACAATGGTGACGGTGGCGCAACTTCGTAGATTGGTTGAAGTTAGACATTAACACCGTTGGATGCCGGCTCAGTGGTCTAGTTGGTTAAGCGCCTGGCGCGAGACTGATAGGTCCTGGGTTCGAATCTCGCGAGGAGCGGGATCGTGGATGCGCACTGCTGAGGAGTCCCATACTAGGACGAAACGGCCGTCCAGTGCTTCCAGGTTTTCCATGGTGGTCTAGCTTCAATGGATTCATAATTTCAACCAGTGAAACATGGATTACGATGGCTTACGCAATCTGCAAAAAGCGCACTCGTATACCATGTGGTAAATTTGATGGGATATGGTGGATAACCTTAAAAGCTTTATTCAATTCAACTTGATGACACGTGTCAACCAAGTGAGCGAGAATAATACTTTTGTTCACTTTTTCCTGTCCCTTGTTTAACTACGACGGATGATGCTCTGTGATACGATGACGAACTTGCCGAATTGTACGCCCTATATAACTGGCTTCACAGGAGCAGTTGAACCGATAGATACACATGGATTTGGCGAATTCAGGCAGTCTGTCTTTATTGGTCGTTCTTATTTTGGGGCGGTTGTAGAAGATGGCATTCAGTCTGGCTGCATTAAATTTTTTTTGTACAGCTCTTATTAGTTTCTGAGTCACGATCTCTTCAGTAGTATCATTTATGAATTGTAATTTTATGAACAGTATTTTCTTAGAAACCGTAGGTATCTTTTCCTTTGTTTTCATCTCCATCATATGTTTGTCGATGAATTTCATAGGGTACCCATTCATACTAAGTTCCGAATTTTAACTAATTCTTCTTCAATGGTGTCTTCCGAACGAATCATTCTGGCACGATGGATCAAGATCTTTATGAAGTTTCTTTTGTATCTGATTGGAACTGCACTGTAGAAATGGGTGTATTGTCCTGTTGCAGACTTTCTGTGTAGCCCTCTTTTTTATTTCCCATCTACTCGTCTAGTTAGTTGGACATCTAAAAACGATATGCTATTGTTCTGTTCATCTTCTGATGTAAAATTAATCGATGGATGAACGTTATTAAATGTATTAAGTAAATTGTCTTTGTCATGTTCTTTTTCTAATACTATGAAAGTATCGTCTATATAGCGATAATAAGTTGGTAAATATCTAATAGTGCTTTTAAGTGGTCCATTTTCCAGTTTTGCAAGGAAAATATCCGCCAGTAGAGGGCCCAATGGTGACCCCATGGCAACTCCATCTATTTGTCTATAATATTCGTTGTCAAATCTGAATTGGACATTCATTGTCAATTTAAGAATTAACTGTTTTATTGCGGACGTGGGAATTGCGGTTTCTATGCGCCTCACCGTTAGTTTTTTGCAATTAAAATCTACAGTTTCAAGTAGTGGAATGTTAATGAATAGGGATGATACATCAAGTGATATCATGAAATTATTCTTGACCGATAGATTTTTTATATTCTCCACCAATTCAAAGGAAACTTTGACACTATGCTTGACAATTTCTTTGTATAATGGTTTGAGAACTTGCACCAACCGTTTTGCTATAGTATGATGCGCTGAGTTATTCATATCTAAAACTGGTCGAAGGGGCAAGCCAATTTTGGCAGGCCATATAGCCTTGGTGTAATCGTTCCTGTAAGTTTCAACATTTCGAACACCTTTTCTGAAATAAAATCTTGTTTCATTTCTTTCAGTGAATCTGTTAGTTGTTTTTCAATCTTGTCTACTACGTCGTTCTTCACAACCAGTTTCTGAAATTTGCTTTTATCATTTAAAAGGGCTTTCATTTTGTTTATATAGTTATTTTTATCCATGAGTACTATCCCATGTCCCTTGTCCGGTTTCCTGATTAATAAATTGTCACTAGTTTTAAGTTTTTTTAAAGCTTCTATATGTTTTTTTTGTCAACATCCCTTTCTTATTATGTCCGTGATTTAAGTATTTAAAGCAACAGTCGACTAGTGTTGATTTAAATCTTTCGACATTATCTTTTGATGAAGTTACTAGTTCTGCCGTTTGAGCATAAAGATTTTCAAATTGAGTTTCGACGTCCATTTTATTGACTGTTTTCTTAAATAAATAATATATTTATAATATCCCAATGAGTAGAAAATTAGATTTTCTGACGTTTCGTGACTTAGTGTAAGTCACTTCTTCAAGTTACAAAACTTAGGGCCTAATGATAACGCTTCTAACTCAGTTTTATCCAGCATAACACTAGAAAAATTGTGTACATACTGACCTGGATTGGACGGAAATTTCATTTCTGAAATCTGTTTGTCTAGATTTTTCTTAAGTTTCATCCTTTTATTTTATTTTCTTGAGTTAACAACCATCTCAACATATTCTAAATATCGCTCTCTTAATTTATCAGGGAGATCTACAGCGTAAATTCTCTCGTTGACATTTTTTATCATCTCGGAAATCTATTCAGTTTAGAGAATCAATTTGATTAAAGGCGTAGCGTTTGAGAGTCCTTCCATTTGGTCGAACTCGAGAGCGACGTAAAGATTTTCAATACAATTTTGGATACAAGTTTGTTTCTATGCACTCGTTTATAAAGTCGACATTTGTCATCGCCTCACTGAGCCTTGCGCTATACTTCAGATACTCGTTGAAAACCTTTAAAGCAAATGAATGCTCAGAACTTTTCAATATAGTGAAAATTCCCATTGTGGAATTTGGTAAATAAAGAAGGAAACTCTATATCTGATTCCTAACCTTAACCATTTAATGTAAATATTAATCCTAACTCATCACACTGGTTTATAACCATCATTTAGCCGTAGTATGTAGGTGGACATTCTCAAGGTCTTTTTAGCGTCACTCAAAGGTCGTCCACAAATTATAGTCTCACCGGTAATCATCATTTTGAACTTTGGAAAATAACACAATAATTATGAACTTATACCACAACCCCTATATATATTATTATACCTGTAGATTGAAGAACATATGGAACTCAAAACAAATGTCGACCAACATTAAAGTCACAATCTTCAATACAAAAGTCAAGACAGTTCTACTGTATGGAGCTGAAACGTGAAAAACCATCACAACCGTCATCAAAACGGTACAAGTACTTATAAACAGTTGTCCAAGCAAGATACTCAAGTCCATTGGTCAGATACCATCAGCGACAGCCTACTGTGAAAGATAACAAACCAGCTCCCAGATGATGAGGAAATTAGGAAGAGACTATGAAGTTGATGGATAGGACAAACATTACGGAAATCACCAAACTGCATCATGAGGCAAGCGCTTACTACGTGGAATGGTGAAGGGAAACGGAAAAGAGGAAGGTTGAAGAATACACACACTACGTGGAGAATCGTAAGCAGACATGGAAAGGATGAGTAGAAAGGAGTAGAAAGGATTGTCGAGTACAGAGTTGGGTGGAGAATGCTGATGACTGGCCTATACTCCTCCATGAGGTGTAACAGTATTAATTAAGTAAGTAATGTTGACCTATAAAACTCGATAATGAAGTTATTGAGAACAATCGCCTGCTCAAATATTCTTTTCTTTTAAGGATTTTTTTAAACTGCTGAAATTCAAAATAAACTAGAATATCACTCTCCGTGTTAAGACGACATGTTCCTTAAATATCTTGACTAGCATAGAATTAAATTATATGCTTTAGGATAAACGAGAAATCTATATAATGACTATTAAATTTTTCTAATCTATATTCATTGAAGAACTATTATTCAGTTGAATGGTTAGTTAAGACTATATAAACATAATTTAACCTTCTAAATATCCGTTGCTTGCATATGCTAAAAACGTTAGAACAGACAACTTCATGTAGATTCTGTTTATTGATTTAACTATCCATTTTAAGTTTTAAAAGTGTTTATATAATTTCAATAGTTGAAATCATGAGTCAATTGAAGCTAGACCACCATGGAAAACATGGAAGAACTGGACGGCCGTTTCATCCTAGTATGGGACTCCTTAGCAGTCCGCGTCCACGATACTGCCCCCCCCCGAGAGATTCGAACCCAGGATCTATCGGTCTCGCGCGCAAGCGCTTAACCATTAGACCACTGAGCCGGCATCTAACGGTGTAAACGTCTAACTTCAACCAATCCACGAAGTCGCGCCACCGTACACCATTGTCTTTAGTGAGTTAATATCTCACAACAGACCTAGTTGAACTCCACTGGTGACGGCTTCTCACTAGAACTCCAGGAAATGCCTCTTGAAGTTAGTCACTAGTTGGCAAATGATTATTATCAGAAGGGGTTTTGTGGAGATTTTTAGAAATTTCAGTAGTTACATTTTTGTAAAATCCAGTGAATAATTGGTATCTTAGATTATAATTTGGATCATTTATTCATTCTGTTTTATTAAAACAATGAAGGTGGACAAAATCAATTTGAGGTTTTGAAAGCATAAGGTGATCGAATTGTACATCAAATTGTGATAGTAATGTTGTTTTTGTTGTAACTTGTGCGTTTGTGCCCCTGTCGATGTATAACGTTATGATATCGCCATTTAGAGAACAGTAACTTATCGACCGGATCAATGAAGCATAAAACCCATACGAGCAGTTTAGAGTCTTCGTCGGTCCTTCTCCTTGCTTAGCCGTGTCTTTTAATTCAAGAACATCAATCTCAGCCTCTGTGATATAAATAATATATTTCGAACATACTGGGTTTGTACAAGATCATGTCAAAAGTGCCTGTGATTGTGAGAGAATGTAATTAATAAACTGGGCTTAACTCAAGAACGGTTAATTGCATTATAATTGCCTATAGGTCAAAATAAAGCTTATAATAAGAAGAACACGAATATGAATAGTTTAGTTACTTAATTATACAATAAAAATATACGTATAGTATTTATCCAGAAATAAATTCTAACAGTTACCATTCATTATTCTCACTGAGATATAACAGTTTTAAAGAATCCTAAGAACAAATTCATGACATTAAAAGTGACTAACGTTCATATAATCTCAGTAACAATTAAGCACAAATGGATCAATATAGTATGTGTATGTGAATATATAATGAACATAATTTTCAACAAGTTTATTTTAAAACTGTAGACATGTAAAAGTCAATCAAAAATCATCTATTTATGGTTCGCTGTGATTTATTGAGAAAATGTCATTAAGCAGAAGAAGGGAATGACCCCAATAGACTTATAATTAAATTTAATCTCAACTCTTAAAGAGTTATTCATCGATAATTCATGACACCAGTTATATGTATTTAGAACAATATGTTCGAACTTCTTCTTAATCATCAAACTAGTTTAATCTCATTTTTCAAATGTTCCGCCTTTTGATTGTGATCATGAACCGATTGATGTTAGGCCACTGTTGGAAACCTGGAAGCACTGGATGGCCGTTTCGTCCTATTGTGAGACTCCCCAGTAGTGCTCATTCACGATCCCGCTAAGGGGTTTGATCCCAGGGCCTTCAGTCTGGCGCGCGAACGCTTAACCTACTGGACCACTGAACAGGCATCCAATGGTGTTAGTGTCTAACACTAACAAATTCACAAAATTGCACGACCATCTTCCATTGTACTGAGTTAGACACCTGTTTCTACCCGACATGGATTAGCTCCACTGGTTACGGCTCCTCACTAGGACTCCGAGACGTCCCTCACCAAGCTAGTTACTAGTGAGCACATGTTAATTACCAGTATAGGGGTTGTGGAGAGTATTAAGTTTTTGATTGAGATCATGAACCGATTTATGTTAGGAACCTGGATGGACTGGACAGCTGTTTCGTCCTCATGACTGGGTTCTAAAAGTATTTCCTGGAGTTCTAGTGAAAAGCTGTGACCAGTGAAGTTCAATCGGGTCTGCTGTGAGGCACTGACTCATTAAAGACAATGGTGGACGGTGGCAGAATATCGAGGATTGGTTGAAGTTAGACACTAACACTATTGGATGCCTGTTCAGTGGTCTAGAGGTTTAGCATTCGCTTGTGAGACCTAAGGTCCTAGGTCCATGTCCTGCGAACAGGATTGTGGATGCACACTGCTGAGGAGTCTCATACTGAAACGAAGCGGCCTTTTAGTGTTTCCAAGTTTACCATGGTAATCTGGCCTTACATTTAGTACAAATTTTAAAACATTACTAACATATCTAATAGGATTTTAACATCTAGTTAGTTGCCTTTATGAGTGATCTATGTATGCAAAAAGAAACAGTAATAAACTTATCACTACCCTGGTAATTCAAATTTTGGTCATTAGTTTTATTTTATCAATGTTCGGTTTGTTATATTTCCCTTCCACCACCCCTTCACTCAAACATTTCTATTCACTCGATTCTCTTCAATTATGTAAACTCTTCGAATCATATTCAATTACTACGTAACCTATCTTATCAGTTTTTTAATTCCATGAATTTTATGTAAACCCTTCATTATCCCTAAAATTGCCACATAATTTACTTTATCTGTCTTTGAACTTCACTCAAAGTTTACATCACTCATCTCTAATGTTTTATTGATTCCAACACCAAATAATCTCTAACCTGTTCCTGCACAAATATATATGTATATAGTCGGTTAAGCGCCTGGCACGAGACTGATAGGTCCTGGGTTCGAATCTCGCGAGGGGGGCGGGATCGTGGATGCGCACTGTTGAGGAGTCCCACACTAGGACGAAAAGGCCATCCAGTGCTTACAGGTTTTTCATGGTTGTCTGGCTTCAATTGACTGATGATTTCAACTATTGAGATTACTAAAATCACCACAAAACCCCTTCTGATAAAATATAGTGATTATTGATAACCTTTGTCATTCCAACTATTTGCATTCACTTATGTCAATTTTTCCAGACCATATCTTACCTCAATGTAACATACTAATACATATTTGGTTGTAAACAGCTGATGAGTAACCACGAGATATAATTTTTACATTTGAATTCATAACTCTATCTAAGCTAGATCATCATTAAAAAATTAGATGCACTGGGTGACCGTTTCGTCATTATATGCTTCTCCTCGGAAGTACATATCTACAATGCCATACTCAGCACTCGAACACGGTATCTTCGATATCGCACTCGAACACTTAGCCTCTAATACCCATTATATATATATATATATATATATATATATATATATATATATATATATATATATATATATATATATATATATGAAATACATGAAAATAAGATCCGACCACATTACATTGAAAAAAGACAACGCTTACCATATATAAATAACTATCTTTATGATCATTTGCAATATCTTTAATATATAATGGAAAATATAAAATATACATATCTAAATTGATTAATTCATCTGTTTTACCAAATCCAATACCGAAAAATTTCAAATGTTCCCATTCTCTATTATTATGATTATTCTTATTATGATTCAAATTATAACAAACATTAAAATGTAACCATTTCACTTCATTATTATCATAATTTACAGACCATTGAATATTATATTCATCATATTTGGTTAAAGGTAACGCATATTCCATAATAATACCATTGAGATCTGGTATAATCAACAATATGTTTATTATAATGTATAATAGTAAATTGATAATAGACATTTTAATGGAGAATATGTTAGTTGATGTTGGTTTTGGTTTATGTTTTCTTCTAACGATTATAAGAATTTTCATTGGTTTTTATAGAGAAATTTTGTTTAACCTTGAATGAGCCTAATTAGTATTTGAAAAGTTCTTTCTTTTTCATTTTTTTGTAATCTAAACTTGAAAATGTAATATACACACACACAAACACACATCATTGTATGATTGGTTGTTTTTAACGATCTTAAGAAGACTATATATATGATCAGTTTAAATGGCTAAATTAATTAGAATGGATTAATAGAGTTTGTGGGAGTTGATCTGAAGTTTGTGCTGATGATGTCATTCAGAAGAATAATGAAATCTCCACAACCAAACCATCCAACTCAGAGAACAAAACTCCATCAAAATCATCCACCTGAGCTACAAATCTTCTCCACCACTTATGTAATCTATAGATCACATAACTGCATATTGTGATTCATTGAATAATGAATTTAATTATTAGTTACCTTATTCATATCTTCATTTCATTACCTCGTTAAATCGTTCTCAATTATATTCAATACATCTTTGAATTTTATTAATATAATGGTCTTCATCGTTTACATGGATGACTGATCTTAGTTCACGAGTGAAATCCTGAAATCACTAAACAGCTAATTCATGATGTATGTAGTACTGTACGCGTTAGCTGCTTGAATCAACAACCATTTTAGACAACAAACCCATAACTTGTCTTATTCACAAGCGCTTAATATCTAGACCACTGAGCAGGAATTCAATGGCGTACAAGCCTACCAATTCACTATATTGAGTGACCGCCTACCACTGTATGTAGAGAGTAATTGTCTAACAGCCAACATGAGTAAACTTCACTGGCCACATCATTTCAATAGAATCCCAGGAATCGAAACTTAATGAGACAGCTGACTAGTAATTCCTGATCTAGTTAGTAAAATCTAACAACCATATATTAAATGCTCCATTTGCAAAATGTTTATCAATTGTCTCAAATGACTCAGAATTCCTTTGTTCTTGCACTTTCATACAAATTTCATTCTTGCTTCATTGTTTATTGTTCGATCTTCTCGTCTCCCTGCTGCCAGACATTCTGTTCACGACTCACGTCATATACTACTTATGTCTACACAAGTAGCACACAACACAATAGTATCACATGATTCACAAGCTTTATAAGCAAACATGGATAGTGGCTAGCACTGGAATCCAGTACGCGCGTTTCGTTCTATTCGGGACTTGCCGATGGGAAGACTCAAGCAAAAAATACTAAATGAACTTAAATTCACCCCATTACACAAGCAAGTGGCTATCAACACTCAGTTGCTAAGTGGATAACACAATGGTACTGACTTTGAGTCCCAGAGTGAACATCAACTCTGAGATGTAGGTACATCCAGCTGACGAGTCCCAAATAGGACAATACGCGCGTTCTGGATTCCCCTGCTAGTCACTATCCATCTTTGCCTATGATGCTTGTGTATTAAGGCAATACACACAGTATGCACATATAACAACATGAGACTGATCAGTTGCAGTCTTAAATCTCAATCGGAAGATTCAAGTAAACATAACCAAGTGAATTTATAGTATCACATGAATTGTGTTAATTTCATTTTGACTTTAAATTATATACTGAACAATAAAGAATCAAGATGAATGACTAATTGAAAAGAAATGTCGATTTGTACTACATCATTTTCTAAATATTATTTATTTCACAAACCTACAAATTCTCAATTTATTTTAATATTACATCGTCTAAGATTACTTATAATACGGTGTATGCTACTGATGTCGACAGATATACGTAGTATGTGTCATCAATCGAAAGTGAAATATCTGGTGGTAGGTTAAGAAGATCAAGGAAAAGAGGACGAGAGAAAAGAATGATTGCTGTGGAAACGAAGGAGCAATGAAGTCTTAGACAACTGATGAATATTTTGCAAATCAAGTATTTACTGTATTGTTCTCAGATTTTACCAAGATATTTTGTAATTTTATACTCAAATAAAATTGGTTGTCCCCCCCCACACACTTGTATGTTCTCGTTTACAATAATAATACCTGTACATATTATAAAAGTAATTGTTATCAAGATTTCGCTTTGGCAAACCTTATACAATATTGCGAGAGTATTAACTTTGAAAACTATTCAACATTCAGGAAAAACTATGTTTATTTCAATGAAAAATATTTATCAGTACAATTCATTTCATTGATAGACAAAGGAGAATTCACAATCTACTGACATACAATTACAATCAGACCGATACACATGTAAAGTACAAGTACGCCTCATCTAAACAACTGAATGATGTTACATCGATAACGTTAGTTACTCAATTATATCAGACATCATCTCGATGTGATTTATGTGGGAACGATAAAGATTTCTGTTATATCGGAAGTAAATTCAGCCACAATATGACAATACAACTGTACCGCAATACCGAAATTGCATGTATTGTTTGGAGGAAATCAACATGTCACATAGAATGAGAATAGTCAGGAAGTGATATATTGTGTGTGTGTGTGGGGGGGAAGAAACAAAGACTGGAGATGGGGTGGAGTGGAAATGATGTTTGTGGGCTCGATTGATTTGTGAAGTGCAACAATACACGTTGAATGTTGATGATGAAGTGAGTTTGTTGGAATTATAACTGGTGATTGGAATTACTAGTACTGATGATGATGTTGATGATGACGAATGGTGGGTTTGTCGAACTCACCTGTGGAATCTAATTCACCAGTGAATTGGACAGTTCGAGTGATAATGTTTTGTAGTAGGTTGTGACTAGATGGTTTGTTTTGATGATGTGAGACATGTTATTAAGGTAATATCGAGGCGATGCTTACAGTATTCACATATGCCAACATGAGACTGATCAATTTCAGTCCTAAGTATTAAAGATTAAAGTAAACAATATCAAGTAAATTCGAACTTCAACTCCGTTGCCCAAGCTACTGGCTATCAGGATTGAGTAACTAAGTGAATAAAGCGATGGCATTTCAAGCACACGGTCCTGAGTTTGAGTCTCAGAATGAACACTATCTCTGAGATGCAGGCACATTCAGATGACGAGTTCTAAATAGGACAAAACGCACGTCCTGGATTCCAATGCTAACCACTATCCATCTTTTCTTATAATAAATAAATCATTTTATTTTTTATAATAATATAACACACAAATATATATTATAATAATACTGACAACATACAAGATACAATGTATTCATTTTCACCTAAACTCATACAGAACAATTTAATCAAACCGGTTATTAAATTAATTGTAAAATCGATTTGTTTTTTTGTTGCCTATAACAACACACTGAAAAATTTGCTTTCTTTGAAGAGAAAAAGATAAAGAGAAAATACAACGAAAAAAACATTAGTTTATATGTTCCAATTATGAATTTTGATAAACGTTTTTCTTTTTTAATATTTTTACCGTGTATGTTTTCATTCAAAAGGTCACATGTTCACATTGTTAAGTTCAGATTACATAATGAAAAGGGAAAGTTTTTTTTAAAAAAAACTGGATTACATTTAAACAAAACAACATAGAAACACATAGACCGATAAGATTATCGCTTGAACACTTTGAATCGCCATGTTAATTCGAAATCATAATAAGTATAGTAAAGTAGTGACTAGAAAAGCAAAGATGTATGATCTTTCTTTTTTTTTGAAATTTGGGTAACAAATGGACACACACACACGCAGAGAGAAACAATAAAAAGGAATAAGAAGAAGAAGCAGAAGAATGTTAGTCAAGTTCTTATAAAACTGACATTGTTTCATTATTTTTTATTCATGCATAAATTTTATTGTGTAATGAGAACATTTACCTAGAATGGATATTTTGATATTGAAATGTAAACATAAAACGAATGTTGAAATACTAATTTATATTTCTTATTCGATTGATTATAATTATTCATATCCAATGATGTATTAATAAACCATGTTTGATTACCAATATTATATTCATTATTAATTGTTGACGAAGTTACAGGTGATGAAGGATCTGATGTCATAATGGTTGATTTATGTCCTGACGATATAGTTATTGGTAAAGATTCCACTGTTGATGATGATAGTTTAGAATCATTTTCATAACATGATACTCGGAAAAACAAATAATATAACTGACCAGGTTCATCATATTTTGTTTGTTGATATGTCGGATTTGTTGCCGCTTCAATATGTGCACTTAAAAGTGTACGCTCACGTGTTTGATTTGTACTATTTCTAGCCCAATTCGGTGTTAAGTAAACAACTCCATCTTCTGTACGATGATGAACTGGTGTATTTGGTGCTTTGTCTAAAAGTTGATAGTAACAATTCGATTGCTGAACCTGAATTGTTTATACAAAAATGTAGAAGAAAAATATGAGTAATTACTAATAGATTTAATAAAATGGAATATACTTAAGTAGAAAGAATGAGATTAAACGGTATAACTACATTTTGGTACTTCGTCAATTGTTAAGGATTCTTCTGTGCTGGCATTTTGTGCATAAGTAAACAGTCATCCTACTAGTATTAGTGTGATGTGCACTAATTGTGCGGATAGACACAAGTAGTACGTAGCTAGAATTGGGAGTAGAATGCTTACCAGTAGTAAAGTGAAGTAAGGAGAAGAGGAAGGAGAACGAAGAGCAATCCGAATAACAATAGGATGGGAAGAATGATGAAGTATGTAAAGGAAAACTGAAGGAGGATATGCAAATGCTATATTTAATGTATAATTTTCATATTTTACAAAGATGTCGTTTGATTTTGCAGAAAACAATATACTATTTTAACCTAACCTGGGTTTTCGTTCACTACATTAGTGGTAGTATTAGTGTGGTGTATGCTACTTATGTCTGTCTAAATAAGTTGTATGTAACACCAATCAGAAGAGGAATGCATGGCAGCAGAAGGCTATGTGGGTTCATTTGAAGAAAACAAAAAAGGAAATAGTAATGAATTATAATTGGAAGAATCATATAGTGTAAACGACAAATAATGGAAATTCGCAAATGAAATATTCAGTGTGTGG